TGGGGGGGGGGGTTTTGGGGCCAATGGAAACTGAGCCTCTTGAAGCGGCTGAGCAATTTCATTTTACAACCACTCGTTGTACTTATTCCTCCTTTCTTTTTTGCGAGTCGCCCCTGTTGTTGCTCTTGCATTGCGCCATTTAATGTAAATCGTAAATTTAAAATGTCATGTAAAATGGTGGGCGGCTGGGCTGGGTGGAAGGGGCGTGGCACCCGGCACTCAAAAGATCCGAAAGCATCCACTTAAGCGACAAAAAACACCGAGAGACAAAAGGCGAAAAAAAGTGCAAGGGGAGACGGCCAAGGAGCGCAGCGAAAAATGTTATTAAAAGCCGTCGACTCTGATTGTTCCAGCAGCAGGACAATAGTCGAGGGTCCTCAATCAACTGGATGTTCCAGCCATGAAACCGCTTTAGTAACCTCTTCAATTTAGTGGGAGATTATGGGAAATTTTAAATATGAAAACCGGAAGGATAACTATATAACAGTACCTACAACATTTAATGATTTATATAAATAAATCACTAAGGAAAAACGGAAAATATAATATTGCATACTTTTAGACTCCTTTATAAGTGATTTCTGTAAATTAATTTTAAAAAAGCAGATATGTTAGACATTAAATTTATTTCAATTTATTTCTGCTTACCAAAATACAAGTAAAATAGTTATGCCCAATCAGTTATTTTGATCTTGGTGATTAAGGATTGCGGAACGCTTAAATACTTGGGCCTGCAGGATACGAAAAGGGGCGTGTCCCCAAATAAAGGTTTTTTGCCTTTAATAGAATTTTTATGAACTTAAGTAAAGTCGTGTCCAAATCCCACGCAGATTACACACGCACACACACTCGCCGTAGGACACATCCACCGAGATGAGAGACTTTCTGACTTACGCAACAGCAAAAAGCTTTCAAAAAGGCTAAGACCGCCCATCGGCCATTTGAAGGGAGGCGGGGTAAAGGGGGCGGGAGTAAAGTGGGAGTGGCAGGACGAGTGCGAGTGCGTAAAATGGCAGTTAATCGTGACCACGTACCAGGACTATTAATAAAAGCGTCTTTAGACCTACATTTTGTGGACATTTCGTTGCCATTTCGACTGCACAACAATGAAGCCGCAGAAGAAGCAGAACTTTGGCGCATCATTAATTTCACGCAGTGTACAACTGTCGAGCCTCCCCTCGCCGTCCGCCCCTCTTGTTTTTTTCCTCTTTTAACCACCACCCCTCCCCACACATAGACAAAAGCCATGTGCAGCTGAAAACAAAAAAAAAGGAACTGGCAAAAGGCAAACTTAATAACAACAAAATGGCCTTTGTGGCCTCATCTTGGGACTGGGTCACACACAGGCGGTCACTCACACTCACACACATGGCCTTTGCCAAAGGCAGCAATTTTGTAATTTATCATTGCACAATATTATACACTCGCCCATATGTTTGTCGCTGCCACCGCTTTGTTCTTGCCAAATGAACTTTAGAGTCGAAAGGGACTCGACTTAACTATTTAAACCCGTCAATGACCCCCACAAATCAAGCTCACTTCGTCCGAGGGATTTACTCGCAGAGCAGCAAAAGTTTTATTAAAATTGTATAGAATTATTTATTAAAGTTAAGCTATATTTGAACATAACATAACGATATCCTTTGCTCATGATTTATTCTGTAGTGGTATATAAATACTTAGAGGTGCTACAGAGGTCAAAATATGTGCCTAAAAGTATGAAGTGAATAGAAGACAGTCGACTTCCTGTAGGAATTCATATAACTTTTTGGTTAAAATATATTGTTGCATACCTTTAGACACCTTTTTTAACATTTAAAAGTGATTTCGAAATTCCAGCTGTTTCTTTTAGCTTAAGGATGCAGAATATTGTTAAACTTCATACAGATAAATGCCAGTTTCAAATGTTTGGCTTTTCTTTTCGAACGGAAATAAATAAATTAAATAAAACAAATTTTTCTCGAGTTTGTTAGTTACCAAATCCTTATTATATTTAGTCACATGAAAGCACAAACAAGCCCCGAAACCCACGAAAGGGTTAATGAGCTGCTAAAACGAGCCAACAATCATTCAAAACCTCCATACAAATCGCCGGCAGCCATAGCCCAAAAATAGAAACACAAAAACCCAGAAAACAAACAAGGAATTGCTTTCAAATTAAATAAATATCCAAACTGAAAGCGAACAAGCCACCCGCTGCGGTTTTTCGCCATTCCAAGCCACCCCACGCCGCCACGAAGATACATGTTCAGCTAAACGAAACCCCTTTGGCATATCAAAGTCATTCGCACATCGACCGCACCCCTTTAAAACTCTAATTGACGTGCCGTTGGTCAAATGTAGCAATTCTCTGGTTTCGGTACATATTTTTTCCTGTCACGCCGCCGGGTACGGCGACACACGAGTGCATTTCAAGGGTGTTTATGTGTAAGAGGACACTGTAAAAAGGATATCCTAATTCGAAAATGAACTTACACTGAACCTTAGACATAAGGATTAAAGGATTTATATTTCGAAATTCAATTATTTAGGGTTCTTGGTGATAAATCCACTAAATATATTAGCTTAAACATTACAGCTCTTAGATATCTCTTATAAAGGTGTCTAAAAGTATGCAACAAAATATTTTAAAACCGGAATTCAATTTTTTTTTTTTTTTAATTCTTTTAAACTCCCATAAATGTGACCTTAGGGATTTTTGTGCATTTCGGACTTTTAAAATAAATTCCAATTTAAAATCTAGAAAGTGAACAAATTTTTTTCCTGTATCTCAAAGTGCACGAGTGTGTATTGGTTAGTTGGTTGGCCAAACTTAGCATCGCACGTGCTTCTCTCGGTTGCCATTTCCCCATTCGGCCATTTCTAGCTCAATCTTGGCCTGGCCAAAACTGTTGGTTGGCTAGATGCATTCCGCGCTGCGTTTCCTTTGCGGCAGTTTAGTTTATGGTTTTGATTTCCGTTGCGCAACTCGTTTCTTAATTAGCTGCCAGGGCCATTTCACTCTCGGTTTCCCGCTTTCTTCTGATTCTGCTTGTGGTGTAATTGACCGTGTAAACTGGGCTTAAGTCACTTAACAGTCGCTTAACACATGCAGCTGAAGGGATGGCACCAAAAAACCGAAAAAAAATGAGAAAAGGATCTCCTGACCCGAAAGTCTTCTCGATGCCTTTTTTTTGGTCGACGAGGAGATGTGGGTGCGGGTCGGTTTGGCAATTTGCATATTGTTTTGTGCTTTGCTGAACTTTAGCTTGTGCCCGAAAATGTGTTGCATACTTTGCGGCTTTATGCAAATGCCATCACAGTGGTCACTGACAAATAGGGGACACTTTCATGGAACTTTTCTATTTCAATTTACATTTTTTGTTTAAATGTTAGGCAGCTTTTTAGCATTTACTTTTTGAAAGCGTTTATAGTCCCTGGAAAAAAAGAAACAGCACAAAAACAGCTGGGTATTTGAAATCACCTTTAAAATTAGGTGTCTAAAAGTATGCAACAATATATTTTCAATCTAAAAGTGATGCTGATTAATACAGGAAGACGACTATCCTTTATTCACTGCATACTTTTATAAAAGCTTTAATATATTTATAATAACTTTGTTCTTAATGTAATTTATTTTTAGAAATAAGGACCTTAGGAAAGTAAAATATTCTTCAATATTTAATTCGTTTTCCCTAATAGTTCTCATCTGACCTCCACTGTAAAAGAGTTTTCATAGAGAACAGGACCCGGGACAAGTTTGCCGCTCTGCGTGGCAAACAAATAGAAATTAACATGACATACTTTGCCCGGTTCGCAGCTCCTCAGCTCAGCTGGTGTCGGGAGTGGATTCGGTCCCTCGAAAGCCGTTGCTGCTGCTGCTGATGCTGCCGTTGATGATGACGGAGATGAAGATGGTGCCAGAGATGGAGGTGGCTGAGACTGAGGCAGAAACTGAGGGAAGGAGCGCTCCTTTCCAAGCTACGCATGTGACGCAGCAGCAACAACAATAAGGACAGCGACAAACATGCACAGCGGGGGGCATGGCCCGTAGAAAATATGAAAAATGTAAAACAAAAATCTGGCAAAAACTTTTCTAATTTAAAACTGCCAACAAAAAAAAAGAATGCCAAAAATAAAATAAAGTACGGCAAGGAAACTCAGAGAAACGACATTAAGATGCAGGGTTGGGGGGGCAGGCACCCCGGAATCCTTAAGCAAATCTTAATAATATCTGGATCACACTTTTGCTTAAAAGGGGTATAAAAGAAAGGCTAGTTGACAAATGATAAATAAAATTAAATAAATATATTGTAAATTTAAATAAATCAAATAAAACATATTGATGATAAATTAAACAGACTTTTAATTAAGAAAATAAATAAGTTTCGGTATTAATAAAAATTAAAAGTATGATTACATTTAATATTTATAGTAATAAGACTTTAATTAACCATTTTTTACAGAGTGTTTTTGATTCGATACAAACTTTTCCCAAAATGCCACCATTTTTTTCCTGGTTCTTTTCATTATCAACACGCTTTATAGAATGTTAACCCTCCCCCTGCCAGTCAAAGTGCTCGGAAAATTATGTCTGTTGACAGTGCCGAAGTGAAAGTCCTTTGCCTGCTGCCAGCAGGACCTGCACATGTTGATGAATGCGAGGCCAAGAGATTTCAACTTTCTAATTTAATGCGACAGTGCGACAAGTAAGGCGACAGAGACAAAGACAAAGGGAGGCTGAGAGGCGGAGACAAATAAATGATACTGCGAATTATTTAGGCAGCCAACGTGGCGTATGCGCAATGTCTGTTTGACATAGCAAATGCCAAGTTCTTGCCAAAGAAAACGTTTTATTCCCAAACGAAACTTTCATGAAAAGTCATCTCTTAATTGAAAATTAACAGCGACAGCGAACAGATGTCATTGTGGTTTTGTCTGGTATTATTTTAATTTACAAGCAACTTGGGTTTGAGTTTCCAAGATTAAGTCTACCCATTATGCCATTATATCCAAAAATGTTAAACAGAATTTTTTATTAAGTTTTCGTTTTATAGCTAATTTGGTTTTACAGTATTGCAGGGTGATAAACACTTAACACATAAATCGTTGCAATGTTCCCCGGGAAACAACCGATTTGATTGCGTTCCATTAAAACTGGTTCCGAGTTGCGAGTGGCGAGTGGCGAGAGTCGGAAGCATTGTGTTAACTCAGACGGGAAGACCTCGGGACGACCTCGGGACCCCAATTAGGTTAGGACCTGACGGACAATGTCCGGCGGCAGCATGAAATTGTTTTTACGCAGCGGAATCTCGCTCAGCTGGCGGTCGATGGGCGACCGGGTGTCATAGAGCGACGGCGACTGACATATTATGGCCAGGGTCCCGAAAACGCAGGACAGCGTGAAGAGCCAGAGGAAGAAGCGGTCCAGCACCATCGATACGAATTTCCAATCCTCCACAATCTGCGGCAATGAAACAATAAAAAATAGATTTTTAATATCATTCCGTTGTATCGTTTTTGCGGCTGAACGAAATTGGTTTTATACATTTTTATTCGCCTTTTAGGGCGGTTTGGGGGGCCTAATAAAATATGGCCCTGCGGCTGACTCTCAATAAACTTGGAATCGCAATAAAAATATAAAGTTATGATTTAATATTTTACAATTGTTTGCTGCACACTTGGGACTTGGCTCTGAACCGCCGACTTCAATGCATTCAAGTCGAACTTAAGGGCAATAAACAATAATAAAAAAGAGCCCCCGCCAGACGCCGAAAAGATGGCAATGTAAACAATAACAACGCCAAGGACTCCTCCATCCTCCAAGACTCCGGGACACGCGTCAATAAAAATGGGCAACAAAAATAAGCGGCCAAGCGAAGCCAAGTTAAGGAGCCTGTGTACCCACCTCGTTATCCTTGTCGGCATCCTTGATATGCTGCGCAATAAATCTGACCGCACGCAACGCCTGCAGCACTTCGGGTGTTAAGTTGCGCGGTATCACATTGTCGGAATCTGTCAAGTTTCCGCCATGAAATTGCAAAAAATTGAAATAAAATATTGGAATAATAAATAAATGTGAGAATCAAGAAGGAAAATCCCATCCCTTGGCTATGTGTGTGTGTGTAAGTATCATGTGTGTGCATCTAGGCTTTTATGGGCCCTCGTGTATGAGTGGACAAATATTTTGGGTTCCTGACAGGAGGCAAATTAACGCCCAAAGGCAATCGGCCTTTGAGTTAACGAAGCAGCTGAATTATGCTCGCCAAAGATAATTTATGGACCATCCCATTTATGGCAGTTTATCTTTAAGATGAAGTTCTCTTACTTTGTTGAGTGCCTGACTTTTGGCTTTTTCCCTTCCAAATGTGCCAAAGAAATCTCATTAACTTTATAATAAAATCAAAGAACAAAAAAAAAATTTACAAAAGATCAAATTGATATGTGCAGGTTAATTTAATATTTTTTAAGATCTAAAAGATATGAATACAGATTATATTAATCTTTTTTTACGTTGATATGTTTGAATCACAATTTTATTGATATGAAATAAGGTAGAAATGACCCTATATCATAACGAATTTTATTTCTGTGTATACTGAACAATTTAATATACCATCTAAAATGCTTTAAAACATTTTGGTTTGTATACTAGCGGTTTTTCATTGCGCTTGGCTTGTTTTACGATCGTATACAAAATGGAAAATACCACAGAGGGTTCCGCAATGTGATCCATCAATCAATAGCTCCCTTTTCGGAATTCCCTTGACCACCAAAATGTTTGATTTTGAATCGCGTAAGCGTTATTTGTCATCGAAGCGCCACATTTCCCATTTTATTGCATTATTTGCCTTGTTATTTCTTTTTTTTTATTCGTTTGTGTGTGCTATATTTGATTTCAATTTGGGGCCGGCAGGCATGCAAAATATTTGTGTGTTTTATGGTTAGATTTCGCGCACTCACCCACAGAGTTCTGCATGCCATTATCGTAAGCGCCATCCTGACTGTCCTTAAACTCGCTGGGAAAATCGCTGATGCTGTCACTAAGGGGGGAAAGCCAAGCACAACAAACAGGCAGTTCGATGGGTTGGAGTCCAAAGTCAAGTGTTTACTTTCAATTTCGCGAGATGCCACCACTTACCGCACATCGATCTCGTTGGTGTAGCCATTGCTCGGCGTGGAGTCGTCGTAGTCGGGCAGGGTGTACTGCGTCCGGCGCATCATCATCAGCTTGGGCATGAAGTGCAGGAAGAGTTTTCGCACCAGCGGCGACATGTTGTGCGTCGAGGGGGACCTGTACCGCGGAGGGGGATTGACACCTACTTTAGGCCCCACTCAGAAAAGCATATCCCCAAAAGTTAGGAAAGTCGCCAAACAAAATATACTTTTATTCTTACTAATGAGTAGTAAATCCCTATTTTATAAATTTTAATAATGTAAAATATTCTATATTATCCCATCAATGGTTTAATAAAGTATGATTTTGTAAAGTAATGAATATATTTCTCCAACTTTAAATGTCCTTTTAATATTCAACTATCTCAAATATTCTCCAAACAAAAGAACAAAATTTGATAGCCTTTTTTTAATCATGACTAGCTTAAATAAAAATGTTCTTTCTCCCTTTTTTACATTTAATAACATATTACTTTCTACTAATATATTCTTTAAATGCCTTTTAAAAAATGTTCAATATTATTTTAAAATGTTCAATATTACCCCTTCTTGAATTTAAATACAATCAAAAGGGTTCAAAAACTTGATTTTTAAAATAAAAAACTACCAATTTTATACCTTTGGCGATTTTCTTATTTTCAAGGCGATGCTTTCCCGGGCTTTCCCCCGCCGAATCGAATCGAGACGAGACTCACCTGAAGTGGATGTTCAGCACACAGACCGTTGTCCAGACGGACAGCGAGACGAGTATCATGGTAAAGAGCAGATACTTGCCCAGCAGGGGCACCGCCAACGAGGTTGGGGGGATAATTTCGGCCAAGAGCAGGAAAAACACGGTCAACGACACGAGTATTGAAATACATAACGTAACCTGTCAACGAGATGTTTACACAATTTCCTCCTCTCGATATCCTATCGGGGCTATCGATCTCGATCTCGACAGAAAGGCGAGCCATCAAACAATCAAACCAACCAACAATCAACCAACAACGACAATGAACACATAACAACAACGAAACGAAAACACAATCATCATAATTTGTTTAATTAATTTAGCCAGTTACTTGTACGAAAAATATTCTTGGCAACGGCAAGGGAGCTTCTCATAAGAACTTTGTACTTGCCGAGGCCTTGAAATAAATATAAAAATACTTGAAATAATTGTTTGCAACTGTTATCAATTCAAAAACAATTTATTTTTAAAAACAACAAAATGAAGAAGTACGTACTTAAGGACTGCATCGCGTATACTGTGACCAAGCTAGGGACCCACACTAACTAACACACTCGCGAACACACAATCTAGGGGGTGGGAAAACCCGAACCCAACCACATCAATCAATCATACGAAGTTTACACGAAAACAATCAACACCGAAAAAAACAAAGCAACAAAGCGCATTTTACTACGTTTACATGTGAACTTTCTGCGTACGTGTGTGGTGGCTGTGTGTCGATAAAAAAGATTCGGGTAGTTTGTAACACTTATGTAGTATCTCTTCGGGGGGAAGTTTTTAAGTAGTTTAGCCCCTGGATCTTGACATGGAAAGTGCTTCAATGAATCACTTGAAACTTGACGAAAATAAAAGCAACATTAATTTCTAGCTGTCTTGTTGCGGGATAACGATTAAAGTATTTTGGATATATCTCATTTACTTTCTATAATTTTTAATATCTTTCCCTGGCTTATGCTTAGAATAACACGAAGAATTTTAAGGGATCTTACTGCTTTAATACCCTGTGTTTCCGAAATATCTGTATATTATAAGGAATTTTATTATCCAAGTCAGTTAGTATGATATCATTACTTTAAAACCCCAAGGATCTCAATACAATACTTTTACTTTTACCTCAGCGTACATGCTATATTGAATGCCAACTTATATTTTAGTATGATTGAGTTGATATCGGGTATATATATCAACATCGGTGGCGAAGCATTTACCTTTACTTGAGCAAACGAGCGATACGAATGAACGAACAAACACTAAGGCAACGACAAAAGGAATATAACAACAAACTGCACGAAGTCTGTGATTGTGTATTAAAGTGTAGGTGTGCCTGTGCTAAATGCAGGTGTCTCCTATGTGTGAGTGTGATAGTGTGTGTGTCGGTGAGTGGGTGTGTGAGTGCGCTGCTCAATTACAAGATACGCGATATGGAAAACAATTTTGCGAGTGGCTTTTTGACATTTTGAATTCGATTCAATGTGGTTCGATGTCGATATCGATTGCGCATTTGTATGCATTCGATGAAAATTTACGTTATGAGATTTCTCAACTCAGGACAGCACACATGATATGAGGTTCTCAGGATATATTTATAGGACGTCAATATATGTGTGCTGCTTTCGAAAAAATTCAGAGAGTCGCTGCTGCGAATGCGGAGCTGATATTTTGATGGATAGATAGAATAAGCTAAATATCATTATGATATATCTATTAGGTAAAATTGGATCAGAAAGTAGTGAAAGATAAAGTTTGGAAAGAGCAGGAAGTGCAAGTTGAGCTCTTCTCTGAAAGAATTTTGATTTCTAATTTTCGTTTTCTAAATTTGATGGAAGCCGATTTACAATATGTAGAAATTGGGTTTAGAGTACAAGAGCTCAGCTTTAGGATAGCAGACTTGAAAGATTAGGGAGTGATAGTTAAAGTAATTGATAGGATTACGATTGGTGCATATGAAATAGATAGTATATCTAGATATTTTGTAGAGGTATTGTCTTTTTGCAGTGTTTTAAGTTGATAAGGAGTAGTTTAGTGTGAAATGAAATTTTTAACAAGAAGGTTGGCCTACAATTTGTAACATTGTTGATGTTTTTAACTTTAACAAACGTTTTTGAAAACGAGTTCAAAAATATTACCAAAGAAAAAATCAACAAGTAAATCAAGGACTACGAAACATATACATGTAACAAGGGGTTGCAACCTTAAATTTAAGAAAACTACTTATGTGTAATAATAAAAAGCTACGTGCTCAAAATGAAGGAGATTTTCATAGGATTTCGATGATTTCAGTCTCCGTTACCTTCTCGCCCGAATCGCTTGGCAAATAAAATACCAACACCGTGAGGAATGTTAAAGCCACACAAGGCACAATCAAATTGACAGTATAGAACAAAGTTTTACGTCTCATGGTCAACTTGAATGTTATATCTAAAAGGAAATTTAGATTAACAATAAATATTATGTGAAACCCAAGGTTAACCTACCTGAAAACGGTTCCAATGTGTCAGGGTAATATTCCTCATTTTTAGTAGCCGGCACTTCTAGTATATCCCATTCCACAGACAAATAAAATTCGGTCAGGTCGATGCCCACTTGCACTAGGTTACTGCCAGGAACCTATTAAAATATTGATTAATAACGATTCTATATTAAGTGATATATGAATTTCACCTGATCCAAATGTTTAAGGTCCACCTGAGCGCCATTGTAGGTCCATGAACCGAATTTCATAAAGCAGATCTGTTCGTCGTATGGAAAGTATTCCACATTCATTTCACAGGATGACTTGTAAATAGCCGGTGGCTCCCAAAAGACTTCACCCGTGTATTTAAGAGTGGCTTTGGTCATAAGGGTTACCTAAAAATATTAAGAGGTCTTGTTAAGTCTGGAGAATAAGTTAATTAATTGCAAATTCACTTCATAGTTGCCATCCCAATTGTTGTAAAGCACAATGTCCGGAACCCAAATGTGTTCGGATGGCACATAGAGCTGTTCTACGCCACCATATTCCTCCGGATCCCAGCGTAACTTGTAGTCGAACCAGCGCTATTAAAAACAATTACAAATTTTTAAAATTAAATTCAATACAATTTTATTTGTGATATTTACCTGCTTCACCCACAGATTGGTGGTCATCACTTGGTTCTTCAGATTGACCTCAATCAGCTGAGACAATTTCAGACCTAACCAAACCGTCAGGGTCTCCGTGTTGTTCACAACGGGTCTTATCAATCGATTGTAGTTGCTCAACAAATCATCATAGAGACGTTTGGTGTCCGGATTTGCCTCAAAACTTATTGGAGCTAAGCAAAACAAGGGAAATTGCAGAGAAAAATGCCAAGTTAATATCCCAAACAAATCAGAAATTTCCCAAAACAAACTTCTGCGCAGGCGCCGCTCTCTTTCTCTTCGAGGGCGCAGCTTCCTGACATCTGTCAAATACTTGGGATACAGCATCAGGGTATCGGAATTTTCACAAGATTTTTCCTGCAGCAATGCACAATTTTCCTTCGCTTACCCGTGGAATTTGCCAACGGAACCAGTAGGAAAACAAGCAACAAACTCCAATGCCACATTTTGTTGATGTTTTCTCTGGCTATTTATGCAATTAAATGCTATAAATTGGCCTTATTCAATTATAGTTTTAGCATTTTGCTTGGAGTTTTCCTTTAAAACAACCTCACGGTCGGAGAGTTATATCGCAACTGAGCTGTGCTTTTTGACAGATGCTCCAGCGGAGATGCTCGATAGCTCAAAATGATTTATCTAAAAGGATTCAGAATATTATCGTCCTTTTCGCGCCTAATTTGAATTTAGTGATAATAGAAAATATTTATTTATTTTTAAATGTTCAAAAAAAATATTGCAGCGAAATATTAATGTACTTTTATTTTCAAGCAGTAACAAATAATTTAAAGTTTTTAAAAAATAATTATTTTTTAAAAACAATTTTTTGAATTTCTGTAAATTTTATTTGTTACTGAGAGACGGTTATACAACCCTTAAAATAGTACTCAAAGGCACAACAACCCTTATTTAGCCAAGCTTTGAACCACAAACCAGACGTACTACCAATTTTAAACCCGTCGTCCTGACAACCTTGTTGCTTTGGCAACGATTAAAGGAAAACAGTAGAAAACAAAGCAAAAACCAGTGAGAAGTGAACTTTGGCAAAGAACGGAAGCAAAACAAAGAAGGCGAAGAAGAAGTAAACAAACTTTCGATTTTCTTAACGTTTGTGGGTGATTCAGAGAAATGGGCTTCAAGGGCAAATATCCGCAGATGGTTCGCGACACGGGCTTCAAGTTGAGGCAGTATCGCGATGGTCCACTGGATTGGAGGCTAATGGGTAGGGATAGTAATAATAATATAAGAAATCATATAAACAGAGTTTTTGCTACAAAGGATCTTATGAAACGGAAAGGATTCTCAGGGAGCAAAACTTCGAGCTGGTGGACAAGGCGTTGTCGCATCTTTCGGAGGCTCCACTGGGCACCGTGCTGGAAACTCACATCCTGGACAGCGGCATTGCCAAGTACTTTGTGATGTCCCAGTATGCCATTCAGTACCTCATCTGTTGTCGCACCTACCTGGATGAATGTGTCACAGACTTGAAGGAGGCTCATTCGACGGCCCAGCAGGAGATAGCCACACTCCGGAAATCCCTCAGTGAATCCAACAACGAGGTGGTCCAGCTGCACAAGAGGATCACCCAGATCGAGGCCATTCGCGAGGTGGTCTACCCATGTCACCTGTGCACCAAGAACTTTATCAGCAACGAGGCCTTGAATGTGCACATTGGGCGGAAGCATCGCGTGGCCACGCCCCCCAGTCTGACTTCGGGCACGGGAAACAAGGATAAGGATAGGGACAAGGACACAGATGTTCATCTGATCAACACCATCAAAATGGAGCTGGAAATTAAGCAGTTGAAGGAGCGTCTGAATGCTGCGGAGAGGAATATCAAGGAAAGGAGCACCACGGGTTCGAAGAGGGTGAGTCCTCGGTGCCAGGAGCAGCGTTCGGTGGGCATACAGAGCAATCTGGCGGAGCCCAAGGAAAAGGACGAGGACAGCGGAGAGGCGCGGCAGAGCGAGGCCAGCGAACGGAAGGAGCAGCTCACAGGATTGGCCGAGCGACTGAGCAACTTTGAGGAGTGGCAAATGCAGCTAAAGCAAAGCAACGAGCAGTTTATACAGGTAGTACTTCATATTTTATAATCCATCTGATACTTATTTATACAACCCACCAGGACATTAACAAAAGGCTGGAGGGTCTGAGCCACGCCCTCGAGCAGAGCAAACAAATATCCTCCACCACGCCTCCCCTCGAAGATCGTGTGGCCACGCCCTGTCTGGAGGATTTGGAGCGGATACTCACCGAAAAAGTGGCAGAGATTGGCAAGATGAGTGCCCACAAGCTGGAAGAGGTGGTCTATCACCTGGAAGAGGGCTACAAGGAGAAACTGGAGGCCCTGGAGCGAGAGCTCAAGCAGTTGAGTGTCCGCAAGGAGCAGCCTGATCCTGTCCAGGCATCCTTACCAGCTGCATCAAAAATACCCAAACCAGTAGTAGCGGCCCGCAAAGAGGAAACCAATATAGATCGCATCCGAAAACAAGTGGAGAAGGAGTTTTTAACACAGAAAAGGGATGATGACACCTACTCCATTGAGGAGGCTCCGCGGAAGAGCCCCGAGAAGCCCATATCCCAACGGCTAGTCACCCAAGTTCAAGTTCAAGTGCTGGAAAAGGAACCGCCAAGTGCCGGAAGTTCTGGCAGCAATCCAACCTATACGAAATCCCCGAGGAAACTTGAGTCCAGCAAACCGGAAACGAGGGAAACCACAGACATTAGCGAGAGTCTGAGCCAGGAGGAGGAAGTGGAGAATAACGAAGAGCAGAGCCTGACAGAGGAGGAGGACACTGAGGTCTCCACCTCCGAATCGGAGGCACCCAGGGAAGACCCAAAGCCAAAAGTAACCAAGCCTCCTGTGAAGGCTATCAAGTGAGTAATTAGATTTTAATTCATTGTAAACTATAAATTCTAATATTCCTCTATTATTACTATTTTTAGAAGCCCCCAGAAACCTTTTACCCGCAAAGATGCCCGAAAGTTGGTCAATCGTAAGTTGTTGCCCCACGGTTTCGATATGAAGTCGAAGGGTATTTCCCATACCTCTCTAAAAAGAGTCAACTCTGAGCTGGCCGAGCACCGCAACAAACTGAAATTGGTGAGCTAGTTAATCTTAAATCACAAAGGAAATCTTTAATAATATAGAAAACCCTCTAGCAATATCCCCATTTCTATGCCACTCGAAATCGCATCCGCAAATTCGTAGAAAAACTCTGCTCCGCCAAGTTCTCAGAACGCGCTGAAGTTCTGCTCAAGCACAAGAGCCCGTTGAAACCTATGGAGGTGCCTAAAAAAAGAATCCAAAGGTCAGTCACCTCGGAAAAGTCGGAGGAGGATGTAGCCAGTTCCCAGAACGAAGATCAGGATGGAGAGCAATCGGAGAGTAGCGAGCAGCAGTCTCGTAGTTCCAGTCCTCGACGGCCTCTCAGTAGAGATTTCAAGGCCCGGCTGGAGGAGATTCTGGTCAAGCCAGCGGCCACCGTTCGAGGAGCTTCCAAGTCGGCCTTGAGCACCAGGCCCGTTCCGCTGCCCAGGAAACGGGTCATGTTTAATACAATGGACAGCGGGAGAAGCTTCAATGACAGCGATGATAATTTTAAATGAGAAGAATTATGATTTATGTTACAACTAGGTTAAAACAGGTCGCTTTAAGTAGGTTATCCTCTACTAACATTTTTTTTTACCTCCCAAATCTTCATTTTTTCGGCTATAAAAAAATTATAATATAACTAATATTCCTAAATTGTTCTTCTTGATCATTACAATTTTTAAAATATTTTATTGGATAACAGGACCGTTATTTTTCTCCGTCCTCTGCCTCGAAGTTGTAGATGGCGTGTTAGTTCGCGTTGCCACTTAACAGACCACTGTTACCGGAACGTGACGAAAACGTAAAGTCCAATCAGAACGTAAAGATTTCACTGGCTTTTTTAGGAGATGGCAAAATTTGCATCTGGCAACGCCTTTTTTTTAGTACGTCGTCAATAAAAAGTTCAATAAATGCAATAAAAGGCCAGCTGGGCGAGGATCGGAACGATTGAAAGCAGCCAACCGCAGAGGGGCCAGCATCCGAGGCAGTGAATCCGTGCATCCGGCGGAGCGAAGGGAAAACACAGCCGCAGGACCCAAGAAGCGAGTTTCCATCCGCACACGGACACGGCGCACACGCACACAGGCGCACGCAGCCCGTGCCCGTCGATGAAATAACATACATAACGAACGTATACCGAAAATACACAGGTTACGGGAAATAGGGAAATAGCAGTTGCACGAATCGGCGGAAAAGCGAAGAAAGGGCCACACAAGATGTCGGATATTATGAACATAGACAGCATTATCTCGCGGCTGCTGGAGGGTAAGTGCAGGGTGCTCCAACTTGTGAATCTCCCCCTACCCCCTTTTTCCACCTGTCTCACACCACCCACTCTTATCACCGCCCCCTCGGTTTTTCCTTGTTTTTCTTCCGTTTTTCCAGTGCGCGGCGCTCGACCGGGAAAGAATGTGCAGCTGTCAGAGAGCGAGATCCGCAGCCTGTGCCTCAAGTCCCGCGAGATATTCCTGTCGCAGCCCATCCTCCTGGAACTGGAGGCCCCGCTGAAGATCTGCGGCGACATCCACGGACAATACTACGACCTCTTGCGCCTGTTCGAGTACGGCGGCTTCCCGCCGGAGTCGAACTACCTGTTCCTGGGCGACTACGTCGATCGCGGGAAGCAGTCCCTGGAGACGATATGCCTGCTGCTGGCCTACAAGATCAAGTACTCGGAGAACTTCTTCTTGCTGCGCGGCAACCACGAGTGCGCCAGCATCAACCGGATTTACGGGTGAGTTGGGGGGGTCTTATATCGGGATATCATTAGATAGTACTTTTATAGTACCAGTTTTCTTGAGAACTTTAGCTCAGTTTCCCTCTGATAATCAGAGTATAATATTTGCGAGGGGGTCGAATTTCGGTATACGGTTACATAAAACGGTTATAATCCCAGTTTTCCTGAGATCTTTAGTTCTTCAGCTTCACTATATAATATTTGCGTTTCTAAACATAAAAAATATTAAAACACAAAGTTAGATAGTATTGTTATAATACCAACTTTCCTAAGACCTTCAGTTCCTTTGATGAGTTTCCCTCTGATATTATAAGTGTACTATATTTCCGTTTCTAAAAATCGGAAATCTTAAAAAACACATTTAAATTCGACTTACTATACTTATTAAATTACTATAAATAACTTTTTACTTTGGTTTACAGAATATGAGCTTTCAACTTAGCAATGTTACGTATTTATTTACAAAATTTTAAATTGCTTACCGTATTGCATTTAAAAATTAAACAAACTTTCCACAAAAGTTGCTCCGAATCGCTTAAAACACAGACTATTACAATTTAAATTACCTATATATATTAACCTCCATACCCCAGTAAATGCCAATAATCCATAATGTTACTCAACTAATTGCACTTAATTGGCAGGTTCTATGACGAGTGCAAACGTCGCTACACCATCAAGCTGTGGAAAACGTTCACCGACTGCTTCAACTGCCTGCCGGTGGCCGCCATTGTGGACGAGAAGATCTTCTGCTGCCACGGCGGCCTGAGTCCGGATCTGTCGTCCATGGAGCAGATCCGGCGCATCATGCGCCCCACAGACGTGCCCGATCAGGGCCTGCTGTGCGATCTGCTGTGGTCCGATCCCGACAAGGACACCATGGGCTGGGGTGAGAATGATCGCGGAGTGAGCTTCACATTTGGAGCAGAGGTGGGAGCTTAAAATTACCAAATTAATCCTTAAAAATGCTAATACTCTTTTTGCCCTTCCAGGTTGTGGGTAAATTTTTACAGAAGCACGAATTTGACCTGATCTGTCGGGCTCATCAGGTGGTGGAGGATGGCTACGAGTTCTTCGCCAAACGTCAGCTGGTGACGCTCTTCTCGGCGCCCAACTATTGCGGGGAGTTTGACAATGCGGGTGAGTGATCAACGTGATCATCCGCGGACTTTAGTCGGCGATAAACCTTGTTTATTTGGAGAACGACTACGGGAGCACCCTTGTAATCGTTGACTTAACCGATAACCTGCCGGCAAGTGAAAGCTGGCAGCCACATTTAATTTCCACTCGCGGAAAATGCGCATTTTAAAAATAATCAATAATCAGTAGCGGGAATACCGAGAATAGAACTGCCCATAAATGTCACCTCACTGATTAATCATTATCGATTTCGTTTTGCAGGTGCCATGATGTCCGTGGACGACACATTGATGTGCTCCTTCCAGATATTGAAACCCGCCGACAAGCGACGATTTGTTTATCCCAACTTTGGAAGCTCAGGACGTCCTTTGACACCGCCGCGTGGCGCCAACAATAAAAACAAGAAAAAATAAGCGCTGCTCCACACACGTCGAACAAAGCACAAAGCAACTACAAACGGCCACACACCCACAAAAAAAAATAGGGAAAATGGAAAGGAAGCTCCGTGTCCACATTCAACGGAAGGCGAAGAAAGTTTGTTTTTATCGAATACGTGTAATCGAATCGTGAGCAACGTTATAAGGGGTATATGAATCTACACAAATTAGCCTATTTTTCATTTGAGAAAAAACCAAAACAAAAATGAAATCAAGAAAAAAGAAAACACAAATCGAGACACTTTAGTTCAAACTAATGGTAGTGTAAGACACTGCATAAGCAAGAATATTTTATCTCCTAATGTATTAATTTTGTTATAGTTTTTCCTTGCGCAAAGCCCACACACACTCACACTCACACATGCTTAGATCACCCGTACAGTAGGTACGAAAAGTGCACGCACCGGTTGTATTTTAATTTGCATTTCTATCTCGCACAGCATTTTATTTAAGCCCTTCTCGGCGGCACTTTGGCAATGGTTTTCAACCACTCTTCCGTTCTTCCTCTCCCATTTTCCTTTTGCCTATCTGAAAGAATATTAGCAAATGGTAAAAATGTTAACTTTTACGTTAATTAAAACTGTACGAGAATGCTTTTAAATGTGAGTTGAGCTAACTACATATTACATATGTACTCGAAGCACGATTTATTTTTGTAATATTGTCTTAGAAATTTTACATCGATACATGTTTACTTAGTTTTAAAAAGTGAGGAAAGCAATTTAAGTTGCAAGCTACATAAGTTTGAATTGTTTACACCAAAAATATTAAAATAAACAAATATTGTGAATATTTTTTAACTGTTTGCGTTACACACTCACACACACGCACACACCATTAAAACCACAAGATTTTAAGGAAACCCCAACAAAAAAAATCATAATTGAACCCAGGCAACGTTAATTAAGGCGATTGCTTTTCAGCGGCACTGTGTGCTCTCTGCTGATGTCAGCGACAGGGCAGATAATGTTTCGCCCCCTTAAATCCCCCCACACTCGAAAGGAAAGCAGACCCCCAGACCCATTAAATGCATGCGAAATTCACACACGAAATGAAAAATGAAAAAAAATCGAAACAAAAATATACAAGTAATAAAATATTTGTAAGCAGCAGCGCAACAAATACAAACAGACACGGTTAATGTACGTACTTGTATGTATACTTTGTGTATTTTGCATTCTACGACTACTGTCGGTACATTCTAGTGCTAAAGGCCGCCACATTCAATTACAAGTATTATGCCCAGGCAGGCAGCGATCCGGAGCGATGCCGCCGGACGCAACTCACCCAAAATGGTTTCGTTTGTATAATCCAATCCCCGCCCGACAACCAACCAACCTACTTACAAACAATCGCGTAACCTATGGAAAACAAAAGCAAAAACAAATACGAGTCCTCGTCTATTTCACACTCTAGTACTCTGTTCAATGTTGTAATGAATTCAACGTATATTTACGACTATATATGTACTTGTAATATCGCGATCCAGTACGATCCATCGGCTGTTTTCAATCCCCCAAAGCCCCAAACACACAAGTCATAAGAATCTATAACGTAATATCGTAAAAAGAAAATGTAATTGACTTTGCAAATGGAAATTAGAAAAGACAAAGGGGTAAACAAAGTAAATTAAATAATGCATTCAAAGCGAAAATTGCGAAACATGAAATTAAAAATTATTAATAAAAAAAAGAGATAAAAAAGAAACAAAAAAATAAAAATTAAACAAAATGAACACAATGACGAAGCACTTGTAACAAAATAGCACTGTTTTATTAAAAGGAAAAACGAAATACATACTAGCAATAAAAATGAAACTCGCGATGTGGTTTTATTTGAATGAAATACCTGATACCTTGCAATAATGGATTGATTGGAATAATGATTGTTTTAAATAGTTTTTACTTTGTATTTTCGGCTATTATGCTTCTTCAAAATATATTTTTGTTACAATTAAAAAAAGTACAAATATCCTTACAAATATTATGATTTTTAAAATGTATTTTAATTTTTTATCATATACTTATATTCTAAAATTGTGAGGATTGTATTTGTTCCAATCTTACAAAATCACTTAGCTCACTACCAGGATTATTTACTATATTGCTGTAATCCCATCTTAAATCAATTGTATCTCAGGGCACAACTCTTGCCCAATGGAGCGCACCTGGCGCCCGTTCCCCTACCAAGTCGCTCCTTCGCCTGTAGCCTCAGCTGTAGCAACTTCTGCCTTAAGGCATAGGGTGTGGTGCTGCTCCTTGTGAGTTCCTGCTGCCTGCTTTCATTGGCCCGATCCTTGTTCCACTTGTCCGTGCTGCTGAGATTGAGTTTATCGTAGGCCTGCTGCAGACGCAGTTCATCCTGGCGGCCATCACTGAAGCAGTCGCTGGCATTCATCAGGCGGAAGTGCTGCAGGGCCTGCAGTTGCTGCAGTTCATCCGGGGAATGCCACTGAACTGGGCGTGGCGATGGCGATGAGTCGCCGCTGTAAACCTGACCCTGACCTTCGTTCCTCTGGCGATGGGCAACGCATGCGCTCTGTTCGTAAAGCCTTCGGTTGTCCGTGTACTTTTCATAGTGGTTGGTGTTGCTGTCGCCGCCGCCGCCTTTGTTGGAGGTGTCAACACCGCCTGTTCGTTCCCAGCCCCATCGCAGAACCTTGGCCCTGCTCTGCTGGCGCTGCTGGGTGGAACTGCTACAGCTGCAGCTGGAGCAGTGACTCACCGTGGTGGCCGTGGAGTTGCGGCGACTGAAGTCGTTGACCAGCTCGCTGCTGGAGTGTCCTAGGCCAAATCTGGGCGGTGCTTTGAGGCTGGGGCGCTTCACAAACTGCGTGGGTCGCAGGCTTTGTCTGGAGGATGAGGTCACCGACCTGAGATCGCCACGTGGATGAGTATCTATCTCTTGCTGCAGCGGAATCTTCTGCTGCTGATGCTGCACAACGCTCCCCGATCTCATCGCTCCGCAATAACATTTATGCATTTTTACTTCCAACTAATGATTACAATACTTGGTATTGTGTTCCCCAACCGAATTGCGTGCCCAATGAGTGTTAGGAGACGACTAGCCGACAACCGGTTTCCACACTCATATGGCCTGGTACTTTATCACCAATCATCATAGCCATATATACCGTTAGCCGGCTCACTTAAGCACTCGCATATCGTTTGTTTATATTTGAACAACAATTGCAACAGTTTCCATAGACACATGTCGAGGTCCTTGGGCTGTTTATTTTTGGCCAAACACTCACTAAGCTGGCCAAATCCACACGGACACACACACACACACACGCACATGTCTAGGCCCAGTTGGACAAAAGAATGTGCTGGCCAAACGAAAGACTTAGGCAACAAACTTGAATTCGGCACCATGAAGTCAAGTGGAGAATTACAATCAAAGAATAGTGTTGTAAAAGATTTCCAGAGTTTATATGCAACTGTGAAGAGGAAAAATTAGTTAATGAAGGTAAATTCTATCTAAAGATATTTTCTATAGAGTTTGGTGACCCAAATTGGTTAAAAAAAATATTAAATCTTTCACATTTTTATTGCCACTATTAAGAACAACAGCTTTAAGATTTAATAAGGGAAAGCATAGATAGAAATACCTTGTCAGTTGGGTAATCTAATGTTTGGTGATCCAAAATCATTATGCAAAAAATTCTTCACCTTTCAAATTTTCTTTAATATCTTAAACAATTTAATTGACACTATTAAGAATTCCTCTATGTATTTATGTATAAAATATATATATGTATAAAATTACCGGAATTAACAAAACATTTTAAATGCTGTTCAACCTATAAATTTAATTGGGCTGTGCCCACCCATTAGATTTGCCAATCCATAACAGCTTAACCCGAAAATGATTTCTCATTCGGCGCAAGAATTCGACTGTGGATTTCAGCACTCGAATGTTGCCAAATATTGACCCAATAAAAACTAGTTCCTGTGCACTTGCTAAATGTACTCTAAAGCCTGACTTAAGAGGTTCAATTCAACTTCCTCAAAGATAGCGATGCATAAACAATACACCCCTTATTAATTTGCCTGGGAAAGAGACCCTCAATTACGGGTAAAGTTCAATGAACTGGATCGAAGGGGAAAATGAAATGGAAAGGGCACAAACACAGGGTTGCTGGGTGGCTCGGTCATTGGTCACTTGGCTTCCACTTCCACTGGTGGTTGGTTGGCTCGTCGGCTGGTTGACTTGGCCAAAAGCGGCGAGCCGGAAAGCAAAAGTGGTTTCGCTTTATGGGCCAAAGCTCGGTGCGATTGAAAATCGATGGGTCTCGAGTCGCTGGGAGCTTTCCGAAGTCGCTCTGCGCCGGCGCCGCGGCTCAAGCTCGGTATAAAAAGACGATCGGCGGACGCATCCCGTGTACACAGTGATAAGTCTCCGGCCAGAACCACCTGTCACCTCAGCCACGATACGGAAATCGAAAGAGCGCGCGCGTGGAATCTTTTAGTGCCGAGTGTTGAAGATTTCGTACATCCGGACCAGATATGTCAAAATACTCGATACTCTTGCTGCTGCTAATCGCTGCGCTTGCGCAGGAATTAACTGTAATGGCTGCGCAAGATTTGCGTAAGTACTAAAAAAAATAACAAAAAAAACGAAACATAAAAAAAAACTACAATAGCGAGTCAAAAGTGCAAAAAATTATCGATTGTATTTGCTTTAACGCTATGCTTCGGCCATATCTATTTGTTAACCACCACATTTATGGTTAAAACGTGATCGATATTGTTTATGGCTCTTTAATTTGGTTTTGGAACTCGGCTCGACTTGGCCTGCAGACCTGAAGGTCGAACTCTGTAAGATTCTCTAATGGCGTTGACAGGCATGCAAATCGGTGTGACATTACAGCAACTACAGTAAACATCGGCGGAATGTCACGCCGGCTTATGAAGAGTACCGCATCCAATTGGGATTCTGGGGAAGTTTTGATCTTTGAATAACTTAAGCGGCTTAAATTTGTTAAAGTTCTAGTTTTTTAGGGTCTTGAAGTAACGTCTTATTTAAAAGCTTTAAGGGATCTTTAGGAAATAATATATTTGTTTAAAAAAAAGAATTAACGTGGGAACCTCTACCAACTTTAATGATATAATTTTCTAAGAAGTGACTAATAAAAAAAATTAAAAATTTTATAGTCCTCTTCCAAGTTTATAGTTGCTGCAATTATAAACCAGAATAATTGAGGAGAGTTATAAAAAAAGACTGGCCATAAAACTTTACGCTTTTCATTTGCGTGCTGCTAAATGGTCAAGATCAATTAAGATCACTATTTGGCGGCATTAGGGGTTTCCCCCGATCCGATGTCCACTGTAACCAGGTGGGTTATGCAATTGTAGCCACCGTCTGCAAACAGGTTGCTCTTGGCCCGTCCAGTTTGACGGTCCAGACAGAGTCCACTGATCCACATTCACACTTACACTTCCGCTTGTGACACAAATTTACGAGTATCGGCAGAGAAGGACATATGTAACCGTGCGTGTTAATTAATTCGCACATTCCGCGGCAAGTGGAATTTTTCTCCCAGTGTAGCCGTAGCTGTAGCTGTAGCTGATTAATGAAACCGTTGGCATAGGTCATGAATGCCTTTGTCTTCTCAATGTATTCATGATAAATGCTTCAACTTGACATTGAGCCACTAAAATATGCTAGCTCACTTCTTTTTCCCATCTGTGTGTCTTAAATATATATTTATCTCTGTTTCGTTTTCTCGTGGACACTTTTGTTTTGTTTACAAAACAAGTTTCTGTGGCCAACGAACTCTGGCCAACGAATGCTGGCCCAATTGCAGGCTGTTTTTTTGGCCGGGCCACTTCCGCAATCCGCGAGCTGGCGATTTCAATGTCATGACCAAGCGACTTAACCGATTTCTGTCTCAACTTTTTGCAGCCGAAGGCTTTCCCAAGTGCAAACGGGACGCGAACTTTGACAAATGTCTGGTGGACGCCGTCAATGTGGCCATACAGCAGCTGAAACCGGGTGAGTAATCATCTCGATTTGATGGGGTTCCCTGGTAAAATTCGTATACTATCCTTTTGGCAGGCAACAAGGAGTTCGGCATCCCGCCCCTTGAGCCGCTGACCGTGAAGAAACTCGTTATAGACGCCGGCAATGCGCCAATAAATCTGCGCCAGGCCTTGAAGAATGTGAAGGTGCACGACATGATCTCCACCAGCAAGATCCAGCGGTACAGGTAAGAATCATCAAAAAAAAATCATGAACAAAATTTTTTTTAATATAAAAATAAAAATTTTTTTTACCTACAATTACATTTTTTTTAGAACCGATCTGGAGAAGCACTTGATTATCTGTGATAGCCGAACGGACCGTATCGAGATGATCGGCGACTACGAGATGTCTGGCCGCATCCTTTTACTCCCCATTACGGGACATGGAAAGGCGAATGTCACCCTGATCAACACGAAGATCGAGCATCGCCTGATTGGCGAGCCCTTCGAGCGGGATGGCGTAAAGTACATGCGGCTCAAGGATTACCGAGTGACATTCGACCCGAAGAGGGTGTACATGAACTTTGAGAACCTCTTCAACGACAAAACCCTTTCGGAAGGCATGAATCGTTTCCTCAACGAAAACTGGGAGACGGTGTTTAACGAGCTGAAGGTGGGATATGCCAAGAGTTTCGGCATCATATTCCGAGAACTGTCGAACAAGCTGTTCGAGAAGGTGCCCTTCGATAATATATTTTTAAGTTAAGAGCGGAGTGCTGCTCACTTACCTGTTAGGTAATGCCTAATTTATGTTACTACATAGTTAATAAAGGAATTAAAACATGACAGTCTGCTGAATTTGATTTATTTGTACCGCCTTCAGCTTAGTCATCTGTAAACACATATTTACTACCTATTAACTACTTGCTGCTTTAATTTGTTTATGAAAGGTTTTAACCTTTCTGACCTCCAGATCTTTATTTACATGGCTCGAAAGGCGAGTCTTTCTTTTATTGCTTGTAAAGCAAATGATTATGATTATTATTTTTTGAAAACTAGGGGTGAGTGCAACAACAAAACAAAAGTGTATTTAATGATTTGTACATTTATTTGGCTAAAATAAAATGGAAATTCTTAAAATACATTTTAGAAACCAACATATTTGTGTAAAAATATTAGAATATTAAAAAGTAAACATTTCGCGTTTTGAAATAAAATAACAAACAATTTCTATTTAATTCTACCTTAAACCACACCACCTTTTAATTTCGTTGTGTTTAAATAAAAACCGTTGAAAACTTTCGCCCATCGCAGTGTGACCAGCTGTCGTAAAATAACCACTTCCGGCCATCTTGACACAGCGATGTGGTATTCTTGGCGTATCACGCGACGGTACACTGCAATGCCAGCTTTATTTGTTGGTCAATTTGTTTAAAACAATTTAAAAAGCGTACGCATAGCTCCACCGCCGGACACCAGCGACTGCAGAAGGCCGGCCTGGATGGCAGAGAAACCGGTCGCCATGGAGGGCACCGTGCCGGAGGCCAAGTACCAGAAACTGGCCACAGAATACTCAAAGGTACAAAGGCATTGCGATTCATCGGCAGCAACAGTTAACGCCCATTAATCCAATTAATCTCATTCCCAAAATTAGCTAAGGGCCCAGGCGACGGTGCTGAAGAAGGCGGTGCTCGAGGAGCAGGCCAAGGAGGCCAGCCTGCGGGAGCAGGTGCAGCAGTATGCCACCTCGTTGCGGCGCACGGAGCAGGAGGTGGACTCCCTGGGCTTCCGCAACAGGCAGCTGGAGTCGCGCGTCTCCCAGCTGCAGCACGAAATCTCAGTGCACGAGCAGCCCGGCGGCAGGCGGGGATTGCAGCAGGGCAACAGGCGAACGGAGGCGGATCCTCCAGCGGATGCCGCCCAAGAGGCACTCATTTTCGAGGAGCTGCAGAAGAAAATCATAGAGAATGCGCAGCTGACGTCGTTGGTAGGAAAATGAGTTATGAAAACTGGCAAGAATTGATGACTAATAAGATTCCTGACCCTCCACAGATTGACGACAATCAGCGGGAGCTTCTGCTGCACACGGAGCGCATTGCAGCACTGGAACAAAAGCTGGAGAAGCGCATCGGCGACCAGAACGAACTCGAAAAGCGACTCAGAAAGGAGGTGGACACGCTGCAGCACAGAAACAGCGAGCTGGAGACCAAGCTCGTGGATGCGGCCAGCATGGTTAGCCTTAAACTAAGATAACTTTTCCCCTTACAACTCTGTAAACTTATCCATTTTCCAGCTGGGCAGCGAGGACGCCCTCAGCGCCACCGGCAGCGATAATACTCCACTCCACAATCTCCAGCAGCAGTCGAACAGCCACCAACTCACCTCCGACGATCGCTTCGCGCTGCTCGAAAAGGAGGCGGCCCACTGGCGGGCCCAATTCGAGGTGGCGAAGCTGCACCAGGCGTTTGTCTCGAACCCCAGCAAGGATCTCAGCACCTGCAGCTGCAGCACGGCGGCGGCGGGCGTCACTGTGCGACCGGCCGAGCCGGAGACCAAGGGCAGCCAGCGGGCGCGCGACTCGCTGCAGGATCCCCCCGAGCCGCCCAGCAAGGAGCAGCTCATCTACAGTGTGTTCAGCAAGAAGTTCGAGGATCTGCTGCGACTCAAAGTGCAGGCGGAATCCAAGCTGCGTTCGTACGAACTGGAGGTGCAGCACCTGCAGAACTGCCTGGAGAACGCGACGCACGAACTGAAGGCCAAGGACGAGCAGCTGGCCAGCTTGGGCGGAGCCCTGCAAATGCTCGAAGAGGAGTTGGTGGGTTTCCGCTCTCTAGATTTCCATTTAAACCGATTAATAACTTGTAATCCCCCAGACCACGACGCGTATTAACTACGAGGAGCAGATCAGCGTGCTGACGGAGCAGGTCATCAGCCTGAGCGACCAACTGGCCGCCTGCAAATGAGCTTGGCCGCCCTGCTGCTTTACTGTATATTCTTGTAAAATAACTAACCGGGAACGCCCGCTCCCTGCTGTTTTGTTATTGTCCGACGCCCTCGACGTGTATATAACTGAACATTATATGTGTATTAAATAATTCTCTAAAGTTTACAATGTGAGCGAGTAACTACTACAATTTAATCGAGAAGGAGGAGCCGCAGGAGCAGCCCTGCTCGGCCAGCGGATTGGCCACCATCCGGAAGCCGGCGCGGATTAGTTCGCTGTGGTAGTCCACGGTGGCGCCGCTGCAGTACTCCAGCGAGACGGTATCGATGACCACCTTGGCCGCACCATCGCCGAACTGCCGGTCATCCTCGTTGAGCTGCTTGTCCAAATCGAACTTGTACTGAAAGCCCGAGCAGCCGCCTCCCTCGACGGTCACCCGCAGGAAGGAGCCGTCCACGCAGATCTCGCGGAGCCGCTTCAGGCAGCTCTCGCTCACCTGGACACTCAGCTCGGGATTCGCGGAGGCGGAGACGGAGGCGTACCGCATCGGTAGAAGACTTCTGCGGAAAATCAATGATTTCATACCTTCTTACGTAAACTCCTTTGCTGCATTTACCTCTGCAGACCCGTCCTGACCACTTGTCTCAGCAGGAAAGCCATATTTGCACGATTTCACAGCCTATGAATTTAATTTTAATATTTCTATTTACTATCTCGTAATCCAAACAACGTCAGCTGTTTTCGCCCGATTACCATATTCTTATTGCATTTTGGTTCGTGTCTGCACTGTTTATGCGGTATTTTTTTTTAACAGGGCTGTCACAGAAACCGTCGACGGTTTGGAAACCGTCGGTATCACAGAATCTATAGCGTTTTGGAGTAAATTTGTTTTGAGTTTATTAGCATTTGATCTTAATTTGGTTTTGGAAACATTACAAAACGTTCTTTTAATATTTTTGTAATTAAAAATTAAAAGTTTACGAGTTTCAGGAGTACCCCTACCATCTTTATTCAGTATTTTTCCTTAGACAGTAGTTTTATCGGTACCACTTCACTTTGGTCACTCACAAATTTTGGACTTTTATTTTCTGTGTATTTTTTCAGAATTTCCTCTAATTCTGGCTCTGGTTTTTCCAAAAATTGTATGCATCTCCAAGTAAATGCTATTGCATTTCTTGCCTTTTTAGTCGCCATAGTAAGTACAAGGGGGGACCTCGGGAGCAAGGCGGCATAGCGCCATAATTCCGCCCAGTACATTTGATCCTTGAACTTAAGTCGTTTTTTTGGCGAAATTATGTCGCACATAAAAGTCCTAAGATTCGCAAAGTTATGTCGTTTTAAAACTTCTTGTGGCGGAATTATGACGTTTAAAAGTAACATAAGTCCGCCGAGGGAAATACGACCTAATTTCGCCAGTTGCGAAATAAGGGCACGCGAACACTCTTATCAGATCCCTATGGATTTCATGTTTTCTTAACGTTTAACAGTCTTTTAACAATTTTTAGTGAAAAAATTTTAATTTGAGGTCTTTTTTACAATTTCTGAATGACGAATGGTAAATTTTTTTCGTTTCTAGCCATTAACAGGTTACAAAAAAAAAATACAAATTAAAAGCCTACAAGATTTTTATAGCAACCCATTTAAAAACATAATTAGGTTTAATTAATTTTATGGCTCCTCATTAAAATTTTCTATTTACAAATACTTGAAAATCATACTTGTTTTTTATAGCACAACACGCAACTTTAAAATTTCGCGGCTAACGAAATTGTGTTGTTTTTTCTCCGCCACAAGTATATTTTAAACGTAACAATTTAATCATTTGTTTAAGAAAAGCCCTATAACCTTTAATTCCTAAGCTATTGCAGGAAATCAGTGAAACCGCAGGCATGTCGGTCAAGGTGCAATTTGAAATTGGCCACACGTCAACGCTGCGCAGCAAGGTGCACATGCGTCGGCACGACTTCACCCACGACTTTGAGATCTACGTGCAGGGCGTCAACAAGGCGGACATCAGTGCCTTCGTGGAGAAGGTGGTTTTTGAGCTGCACCCTTCGTTTCCCAACCCGAGAAGAGGTAGGTTTGATCAAAAAAACCCCTATAAGAACCTACTATATCTTCATTTTCTACTCACAGTGGTCAAGGAGCCGCCGTATGCCATTCAGGAATCGGGCTACGCCGGTTTTCCACTGGCCGTGGAGATCTACTTCCGCAACCGCGACGAACCCAAGCGCATTGTATACCCGTACGACCTGGTGATAGTGACAACGGCATCGCATCAGCAGTCCGAGATCAAGACGCACATCTTCGAAGACCCGTCAGAGGATTTTCGGGCGATGATGATTCAGGGAGGCGGTTTTGCCACCTCCATCGGCGCCTGCAATCTTGGTGGGATTCCGCTCTATAGCTTTGCTTTGAAACCGATTAATATCTTTTAATCCCTTAGACGCGACGAACTACGAGGAGCAGATCAGCGTGCTGACGGAGCAGGTCCTCAACTTGAGTGACTGCAAATGACTGTTTTAATGTATATTCTTGTAAAATAATGAACTCCCGACGTGTATATAGCTGAATGTTGATGTGTATTAAACAATTCTCTAAAGTTTAAACGTGATATCTTGTAAAGCAAACCGACCGTTTTAAGTTGAAAATAAATTTTTGAAATGCGTTTCAAATTTCAGGAATACCCCTATCATCTGTATTCACGACACATATAAGAGGTATTTTCTAGTATTTTTCTCGTAGACACTGGTATTTTCGTTGCCACGGTCACACACCAACATTTTGGATTTTTATTTTCTGTGTGTTTTTCCAGAATTTCCTCCGATTCTAGATCTAAGCTTTTGTGGTTTTCCCGAAAATTGTGTGCATCTCCAGGTGAATGCAACAAGGCGCGATAGTAAGTACAGGGGGCCACCTCGGGGGCAAGGCGCCGTGGGAAAACATGAGCTCGGCGAAAGCTTGCAGCCAAAAGGGGCACAATGTGGCACACATTCGCACACAAACAATAACAGTTGGCTTGCCAATGGAAATCATAACAAAAAACCATGGTAAATGGGCCATATAAAGTGGGTGGCGGGTCTAGAGATGATCTTGAGTCCTTCCGGCATGTTTCCGCAGGCGGGGCCTCCAACTGGAGGACGTGACCTGCCACAGGAGTCGTCTTACATAGCACGCGTGCACCCTGCAACCGAAGCGGGGAGCTCAATAATTGGCCAACATACCGCTTCCCACCCCCTGAAAGTCATATAAATTAAGTAATATAGTTAACTAAAACCCTATAACCCTTCATTTTGCCGCGCCAATAACTGATACCCATTATCCATTACAGGAAACCAGTGAAACTTGATGCCCTACCGCAGGCATGGCGGTCAAGGTGCAATTCGAAATTGGCCACACGTCGAAGCTGCGCAGCAAGAAGACTCCTCATCCGCAGGCCTTCACCCACGACTGGGAGATCTACGTGCAGGGCGTGAACAAGGCGGACATCAGTGCCTTCGTGGAGAAGGTGGTCTTTGTGCTGCACGAATCGTTTCCGAAGCCCAAGAGAGGTGGGTTCAGGGCATATAATCCCCAGGAGAACCTACTATATATTCATTTCCTATTTCAGTGGTCAAGGAGCCGCCGTATGCCATTCAGGAGTCGGGCTACGCCGGCTTTCTGCTGCCCGTGGAGATCTACTTCCGCAACCGCGACGAACCCAAGCGCATCGTTTACCAGTACGACCTGGTGCTGCAGACGACGGGGCCACCGCATCACCAGTCCGAGATCAAGACGCACATCTTCGAGGCGCCGTCGGAGGAGTTCCGGGCCAAGATGATGCGCGGCGGCGGAGTGCCCGTGTTTGGCGCCTCCCTGGGCGCCGGCAATCTCACCCGCACGCTTTCGCCCAACGTGGGCAGCGGCGAGACGCCGCCCAGCAATGAGATGGCTCTGGTCAAGGCCAAGGGTGTGCCCGGCAGCGTCTCGATGAACGTGGATCTGGGCACAGGCAAGAAGCACAAGTCGCGCAACGATCCCGATCCCGGCAAGAGCAACGCCTTCTCCGCCCTCTTCGGCCCGCCCATTACCAAAAGCAGCGCCACGACGAACAATCTGGCCCTGGTGCCCGTGGCCAAGCATTCGCCGGACGCCAAGATCGTGGCGGTCGGCGGAAAGGGCGGCTCCCACGAGGGCAGGGAGAAGGCGAGCAAGGCGGAGCGGGACAAGTCCAGCGGCGGCGATAAGCCGCGGGAAAAGGACAAGAAGGATCGCCATGGTCGCGACAAGGATCGCAAGTCTAGTAAATCCGGCGATGGGAAGCATGAGCGGGAGAAAGAGAAATCCAAGAAGGACAAGACACGCGACAAGGAGCGTGAGCGCGAGCAAAGCTCTGGCGGCACTCCAGCCGCCGGTGGCCTCACTGTAGCGACCTCCACCGCACTGGTTAAACACACCGCCAGTCCGAAGCCTGGAAAACCCAACGAAATGGGTGCACCGAGTCCCAAGAAGACGCCAAATGATTCGACAGCCCCACCTGCTTCCCGTTCCAAAGAGCGCGATGAGCACAAGTCGGGCAAGTCGGAGACCAAGGACAAGGAGCGCAGCTCCAGCAAGAAGTCCAAGAAGGAGAAGAAGGACAAGGACAAGGAGCGCGATCGGGAAAGGGAGAAGCAGCGCGATGAGAGCAAAGACAAGCGAATGCCCAAGGAGGAGCGTGCCGGGCAGAGCGACAGTCCGGCAGCGGGAAGTGCTCAGCCGGCCAACCAGCAGCAGCTGCAGCAATCCCAAAGCGGCAGCACGGGCAAGGCCACGCCCACCTCCGTGGGCAGCAACAGCAGCAGCAGCGTGGTCTCAACCGGCGGCAAGCAAAAGGACGAGGGCAAACATAGCGAAAAAACCACGGAAACCAAAGGGGATAAGAGCACCAGCAATGGCAGTGCGGCAGACACCAAGAAATCCCACAAACACAAGAAGAAGGACAAGAGCAAGGACAAGGACAAGGAGCGCAGCGATCGCGACAAGGACAAGGAGAAGGAGCGCGACAAGGAGAAGCCGAAGGAAAGAGAAAAAGACAAGCAGCCGGCGGTGAGCAGCGGAGAGAAGCCATCACCCACTGAGCCATCGCCCAAAACAGAGGGAGCCAGTCCGGCAGCCGAGGGAGGAGCGACGGACAAGGCGGCACCCAGCAGTAATGCCAGCAACAAGAAGGAGAAGCACAAAAAGTCCAAGGAGAAGTCCTCCGCCAAGGACGAGAAGCGTCAGCGGGAAACGGGCGACAAGCAGGCTGAGGGCAAGCATGCCGCAAAGCAGCCGACTCAGCCGCAAATCAAGGCTCCCAGCAACCTGGATCTTAGCGATGTGGACTCGGCCCAGTCGGCGCCCGATTTGGCCGCCACCAATGCTCTTGCCGCAGCAGCGGCAGCCACGCTTCAGCACTCCGACAGCTCGAACAGCAGCTTCCCCGACTTACCCGCCAGGAGCAGCAGCCAACAGAAGGCCGCCAAAGGAAGTTCCAGCAAGGAGGCGAAGCCTGCTGGCAAGGAGCACAAGGGCAAGTCCAAGCAGAGCGACAAGAACAGCGAAAAGGGCAGTGAAAAAGCGGAAAAGGCGGACAAGACGCCGGATGCCAAGGCGGAAAAGTCAGAGAAGGCGGAAAAGGATGAGAAGAAGCGCAATAGGAGGAACTCACAAAACAGCAACAGCGGAGCAGCCGGTGGGTTTATAGAGCCCCCTGTAAAGACCTCAAAGAAGGAGCAATCGAAGGCGCCGCGCGAGAAATCCAAGTCGCCCTCGTTGCGTCCGCCCAGGGAAACCAACTCCAATGCGGGCTCAGGAGGAGCTACCAATGCCGGATCGGGATTCTTGCCACCGCCATCATCTTCGCCAAGCAACAACCATGCGGCAGCTAGCCTAAACAACAATAATAATAATAATAACAACAATACGAACAGCAACAGCAGCCATTCGCCCGCTGAAATGACGACGCCGGGTCAGCTTCAGCTGCCAACGGAGTATTTGAGCGAACTGCAGGAGCTGCACCACAAGATCATGACCCTGCAGGACAACGAGGAGTTGCAGCACGTCGTCGAGATGATTGCCGCCACCGGTTGCTACGAGATCACGCACAAGACATTCGACTTTGACCTGTGCAAACTGGACCGCGGCACCGTGCAGCGTTTGCAGGAGTTTCTGGCCACCTCGGTGTCGTGACACGCCCTCAACTCCACCTCAACCGGGCCTGCTCTCTACAGCTAGACGATGCACAAACCCCTCATGCACATAACCAAATCATTAAGCTTAAAGTTATTGTTGTAAGCCCGTTGCGAAATAACATGGCTCGCACACAGCCTCGATTCCCCTTGCCTAGAACCTAAGTTGTTAGCCCGAAGGGCACACAAAAATCCCGAAAGAAAATATGGAAACAAACGAAACCCTTTAGTTTTTGAGACTCATTCGATTTAAGACCTATTTTATATTATTTTGGATCCTATTCGACTGTAGCACGATGATTTTAGCATTCTTTACGGTCGCCTTCTTATAAATTAATTATTTTTAATTTAAGAATTGCACTAGTTTACGCCAAGAGATGGAAAAACATAATTTAAAAAAGTGTTTTATAGAATATCTCACGAAAAGCAATTTTGAAAGCTACATTTAATGACAGTTTCGAAGTCAGCAGCCGCTATTTAACTAATAAATAAAGGTTCTACAAGTACTCACCAAAAAAGGCGAAGTTTGTAAACTAGTGTTGATTACTTGCGAATAAATTAATACTTTTGTACGATATTTACGTACTTTTTGTTTCTTTTTAGTTCCTCCTAAATTTGCCCAATATATCATAGTCTCAAGTATTATAGTTAACCTACCTAAAATAAGAGGGATATATAACCAAATTATGTGCACAGTGTATTTTAGACTATGGTTAATCTTGTCTTAGCAATATAAACAGCAGTGAAATATTAAGTTCTTAAGAAAGGGACAAACATCAGCCTTGAAATATATAAGGATATATATGGAATGACGAAGAATGTTCTATTTAATTGGTAATAGTAAGTAAGACCAAGCTATAATAATTCTAAAAAAGGGAATTATTTTTGTCATAAATTGACATTTTTATTTTCTTCACCCATACAAAAGGTATTTTTATTACCAGAATACTAATGTGGATTAAAGGAACCTATATTACAAACTGAGGCAGATCTTTTAACCTAAGAGAGACAGTGACTATATTCTTTGGGAGTTAGTGGAAAAACCTCTTAACAACTACGACAATTACAACAATTCGAAAACAGTGCAAAAATCTATATTCGAGTTGATTGCTTAGCAGTTCTATGGTTTCGGACTAGATTCTTTGTGCGCAATTTAGTCGCGACAATAGCAGTACTTCCGCAGTTCGGGATCCCGATCGTAAATGCACCGGGCCTGATTTCCGTACTTGTTGACACGCGAAATGTCCGTGAGTTTGGTGGTGGCACTAAACGTATGCAGGCTGTAGGCCACACTCGCCTCGAACAGCGACTCGCCGGGCAGCGTCACCACCTGCAGCTGGTACATCTCATCCCGGACCACCGTTTGGCCCGTCATGTCCGCCAGGAAGCCGTCGCGGTCGCTGTTCGTCTTGAACTGCAGCAGCTCCTTGTGCGGCTGCAGGCGTAGCGCCCAATTGACGCGAAGAAGCTGAGGGATTAGGGATATATTTAATCAGATATTAAATGATATTAATCTGGATCACCTACCTGCAGAGGAGCACAGAGCGTGCGTTGCTCCACGGTGGCCAAATTGATGGCATTGACAATGCTTTGTGCCGCCTTGAGAATAATGCCCGAGTAGCGGGTGTCGTTCAACTGCAAAGGCAGCCAATTCAGGCAGGCACACCAATGTGGCTCTATGTAGGCATCCGCACAGGATCGGTTGCTCGGAATGGGATCCAAAAGCGACATGGCGCGTCCTCTCGCTAGCTCAGAGATGTGAACGCTGGGCTTGCTGGGATCAGTTCTCAGATCGTTCATCTCTCCCAATTGATCGTTAGCCGTTTGTAGTTCTGTATAAAAGCAGGAATTAGTTTCTTTTGTAGGCTAAGAACCTCCATTCTTACGGATAATGTGTTTTAAAGTAGCATGTATGTCGAATGGCGTGGTCAGGTGGTTCTCGTTGGCCAGGAAGTTCTTGTACTCCAGCGGAAAGCGCTTCTTGAACGACTCGGGAAAGGTGAAGCTGAAGAAAGGCAGTCGCTCCTCCTGTTTTCCCTGCAGTGTGGCGCGCACCTCGGCAAATCGATTGCCGTGATCGGCCATCATGATGAGGATGGTGTCGTCCAGCAGCGATCGTTCCTTGAGCGCCACCAGCCAGTCATGCACGTCATCATCCGCTGCTCCCACCAGATTGATGGAGTCGTGCGACAAGCCGCCATGGAAGCTGAAGACAAAGCGCGGGGCATCGCGATACTTGAGCATAAACTGTAAAGGAAAATTATCAATTAAGTGGAAGATGAATTGAGATAACCACATACGTTTTTCGTATACTCCAGCATGGTGAGATGATCCGGTTGGTGGCCAATGCAGTTTGGCTGACTCTCGGCGGCCATGTGCTCCGCCTGGATGTAGTAGGTGCGCAGGTAATGGTCCACTGGCTGGTTCTCAAAGCCCGTCATGCGGTAGGTAAAAGTGCCCACATTGGGCAGATCCTCGTTGAACGACGTCATATAGCCGAGACGGGCAAAATCCTGCCAAATCATGGGATACGAGTCCACGCTGCCGGCGCCGGACAGTCGCTTCCTCGTCTCCGGCAGCTCCAGTTCGGTGAAACCCGTGAGCAGGGGCACCAAGGCCTGCGGCGTGCCATCGCCCACGATATTGTAGCCCTTGAGGACGGTGGCGCCCAGCTGCTGGGTGAGATACTCGTAGGTTCGCGGCAACTTGCGCATAAAGGCGTTGCGACTCAACGAATCGAAGCCAAACATGAGGACATTGTAGAACGAGGCCGTGGGCACATCCTGCATTTGCTGCTGAGCCTGGGCGACAGCCTCGGGCGGCAGGACAGCCAGATTGGGTGAGAAATTGGCAGCCAGCGGTCGTTGGACGGTATCCCGAATGCCATGGGCCATGCCAAACCAACTGGAAAGGGATAAAATACATTATAAACTGCGGTGGAAGTAGGAGGATAGTCACCTCTCGCCATTGGAGGATTTGCAAGCCACCTTGACAAAGTCGCTGGCCTGCAGGACATAGGGCTCCTTCAAACGCAGCGTGCGCCCAAAGCGCACTTTATAGTCGGATTTGCGGATGATGTCCGTGTAGGAGCAGATGACATCCTCGTGGCTGGAGGCGATCTCCGGTCGTACAAAGCAAATGGATTTCTGTGGGAGGAGGAGGAGTTAGCAGGGTGATTCTATAGGATCCTATATAAAATCCCACCTCGCACATCACCCAGTCCATTCCCTCGCCGCAGTTGATGCGCTCCACCGGCTTGTAGAACTTCATGATGTCCGGATTGTCCAGGGGAAGATGGGGATGGCGGCACTCGCCCTGATTCACCGCCGATCTTATGGAGCGCTCGATAATTTCGCTTTATCAGAAAAGGGTAGGGTGTATATATGTGAGTAAACATTCCAGAATCAATATCGCGAAACGCGTGTGACGCACAACTATACATACATCTTTAGGCTCTTATCCAGTTCCCTCTCGTCGTTCAAAATGTACAGGGTAACCATGAGTGCGACTACAACGCAACCAGATAGGATCTTGGGAACAGTTCCCCGCCGCACGAAACGCATTTTGAATTAGTTATGAGCTGCAAATAGTGCACCAGACATGTGTTCACTTTATCTTGCAATCTCTGTAAATATTGCACTTACTTTTGAAGCCAATTAGGGAGATGCAGTTCCAGGGCCAACAGGTGAATTCCAGCAGCGTGGGCTAATTAAACGTTACTGATTTGCGGACATTTAAAAGTTATTAAACAATGACCAGCTGGGCGTACCGCTAAAAGCAGAGTGCCAAAAATGGCAAAAACATTGGCAGATTTTGGTCATACTGTAATGGTTGGCAACGCGACCGTTAATATTCAAATTGTACTTTAAATCAAAAGGCGGGAGAATGGTAATATTAATAATTATTTGAATTACTAAACCTGTTTTTATTGCATTAGTCATATAGATTGAAGCTCCAGTTATTTAATTAACTAAATTTCTTAATAAACAACATTTTTAATTTAAATTTATAGTCTTCTTATCATTCATATATTTTATTGTTAGCTTTCGAAATCCGGATCAATCCTAATTATACTGATATTGTATTTTATTATTATTTTGTATATCCTTTTCCATTATTACGCTTCAATTGGTAGTCCTCTAATGTCATTACTGAAGGATTTTGTCTCACGGTGGAGCTACTTTATATGGCCATAAAACATGTGTCATTAAAAAAAACTTATTAAAAAATGCCAATTATTAAGACTTGATTACACAGAATATTAATGAAGCCTCTACAAAAACCACCACTCCTCATATCATATCACATCTGATTTGGAGACTCGCCGAAAAGCTTGCGACAAAGCTCTTGAGCTGAGAATTCCCCCCAAAGATAAGATTCAGTTGTGTGCCAAGCTCAGCTTAGGCCTCTCCACTTCTCTCCGATCCGTGGGAATTCCGTTTTATTACCTGTATCATCCATATTATCGCGCCGTTTATTTTGATAACTGCTTCTGGGGTCGATCTATAATATTGCAGTAAACAAAACATTGCCATTGCCCCAAAATCAAACTGACGACGTCTTGAGAAAGGACCAACCTGTCCGCTTGCGTAACGAAAATGTTGAGGCTCTTATTCATTTGCCTCTTTCTGGGAATTTTGGCGAAATCATCGGCGGGCCGTAAGTAAATAGAAGAAGATGCCAAGATCTGCTGGGCATGACAAGCTTAAGCAAATATATTTATTTTGCCGCGGGCCTTCACAAATCGTTTCTAAAAACCTGTTTCCGTACTTCTATAACTAACGGACCTAATTTATGCACGAAAAAATTGTTAAGCTACATTGATTTACTCTGGAATTCCAGAGTTCTACTTCCCCAACGAGGCGGCCCAGGTGCCCAACTATGGACGCTGCATAACGCCCAACCGGGAGCGGGCTCTGTGCATCCACCTGGAGGACTGCAAGTACCTCTATAGCCTCCTGACCACCTCCCCCTTGAGGGACACGGATCGTTTATACCTCAGTCGCAGCCAGTGCGGCTATACGAATGGCAAGGTGCTGATCTGCTGCCCTGATCGCTATAGGGAGACCATCTCGGAGGTGCCTCCACCACCGAAGCCGAATGTCACGAGCACCAGCCTCCTTCCGCTGCCAGGACAATGCGGCAACATCCTGTCCAATCGCATCTACGGCGGAATGAAGACCAAGATCGACGAGTTCCCCTGGATGGCGCTGATTGAATATACAAAGGGTAAGGGGATCCCGTAATCCTGTAGACCCAAAAAAATCGATATGAAACGTAGATCGATTTTACATTATTTAAGATCAATTTTAATTTAATATGTAGCCAGGTAAATTTGACCTGGTCGAGAGTATTCATGTAAAAACGATATGGGTTTTGCATGACCTGAAATTTTCATGGCCATATCGATTTTACGGGAACATCCTTTTTTTTGTGTGCACCCAAAAAAACTCGATATTAAACGTAGATCGATTTTACATTATTTAAGATCAATTTTAAATTGATATGCGGGTAGGTAAATTTGACCTGGTCGAAAAGAGTCTTCATGTAAAAACGATATGAAATGTACATGGCCATATCGATTTTACTGGAACATGCTTTTTTGTGTGTAGAGCAATCTAACCCATCCTTTTGGATTTTATCCCATAGCCCAAGGGAAGAAGGGTCATCACTGCGGCGGCTCCTTGATCAGCACGAGGTATGTGGTCACCGCCTCGCATTGCGTGAATGGAAAGGCTCTGCCCACCGACTGGCGGTTGACCGGAGTTCGCCTGGGCGAGTGGGACACCTTCACCGATCCCGACTGTGAGGTGGATGTGCGTGGCATGAAGGACTGCGCTCCACCGCATCTGGACGTGCCCGTGGAGCGGACGGTGCCCCATCCCGACTACATACCGGCTTCCAAGAACCAGGTCAACGACATCGCCCTGCTGCGTTTGGCCCAGCAGGTGGAGTACACCGACTTTGTGCGTCCCATTTGCCTGCCCCTGGATGCCAATCTGCGGGCGGCGACCTTCGATGGGATCACCATGGACGTGGCCGGCTGGGGCAAGACAGAGCAGCTGTCGGCCAGCAACCTGAAGCTGAAGGCGGCGGTGGAGGGTTTCAGGATGGATGAGTGCCAGAACGTCTACAGCAGCCAGGAGATCCTGCTGGAGGACACCCAGATGTGTGCCGGCGGCAAGGAGGGCGTCGACTCGTGTCGCGGCGACTCCGGAGGACCACTGATCGGACTGGACACCAACAAGGTGAATACCTACTACTTCCTGGCGGGCGTCGTGTCCTTCGGGCCAACTCCCTGCGGTCTGGCCGGTTGGCCAGGAGTTTACACCCTGGTGGGGAAGTACGTCGACTGGATCCAGAACACCATCGAGGCCTGATTGTAAATTATGTGATTGTGGTTGTGTAAATAAATTGGACAAACTTAGTCGGTGTTAAGTGCTTTTTGATTTGGATTAAGGATTAAGTTTCCAATATATTGGAATATAAAATATACATATATATTTTTGATTCGATACATATATATTTTTGTCGATACTGACCGGATCGGAGTACTATTATCTTATGGCTTACATAGAAATAATCGGAAAAATAATAGAAACAAATGTTATTTTCGTTGTTTTTTTAAGTAGGCCAATTGATTTTTGACAGTTTAAAAACTAAATTTAAAACCAGACAATCATTTATCTGATAACCCAGTAAGAGGTCAGATCCCAACAGGCTCGGAATACGTCGCAAATAAGGACCCGTAGAGTCCTTTCTCTTTCGCGCGAACCTCAAAGAAGGCAAAGTGAAAAAGTTTGAACATAAGTATTTATTTTAACTGCAAGGGTATATAAACTTCAGCTTGCCAAAGCTAACTTCCTTTCTTTTCTCAACTTAATTTTGCAATTACTAAAACATAATTACAAAAAAGTAATTTCTTCAAGTGAAATATAACAAAATTTTTAAATTTCAAACCACGGTAGGTGGTCTCTTAAAATCACGCCTAAGTATTTGACACTATCTGGCAACTCTAATAAACTGCGCAGTCTGGCAACTCTTCGGCCCAGGTGATACAAAAAGAAAATGTTGAAGAACATCTACGTAACGCCGTTAAATTTGCTTAAATCGGCCACCAGCCTGCAGCAGCAAGTGCGGGTAAGATCCTACTCCACTAACCCTAGGTCCCCCCATTCATCACCCAATCCCCCCACAGACCACGTTCGTGCTGAAGCGCAAATATGACCCGCCACTGCACAAGACGAACGAGAAGCCCCGCCGGATGCGGGCGAAGAACTTCATCTACGAGCTGGTGGAGGACACGTTGGTCAAGAAGCGGCCCAACATGCAGGTGGTGCTGAAGACCTTCGTCGAGGGCGTCGGCGACAAGGGCGACGTGGTGTCCATGAAGCCGCATTTCGTCTACAATAAGCTTTTGCTCCCCGGATTGGCGGCCTACAATACGCCGGAGAATGTGGCCAAGTACGCCAAGACGGAGGCGGAAAAGTCGGCCGTAAAGCACAGCTCCGCCTACGCCCAGCGAACGGTGAACATGCTGGAGTCCATTGTCCTGGCGGTGGTTATGAACAAGGACGAGCCGTGGGTCCTCGAGCCCTGGCACATCAAGGCCTCGCTGCGCAAGGCGGGCTTCCATTGCCGCGAGGAGTGCATCACACTGCCCAAGGAGCGCATCGAGGGACCCGATCTCAAGAAGGAGAGCAAGGATTTCTACTGCACCGTGACCATCAACAAGCTGGAGCAGGCGCGTCTGAAGTGCCGCCTGCACCACTGGAGCACGGATCCCAGCGAGCGGCTGCCCTACGTCCTGGAGCACTGGAAACTCCAATCGGAGCCGCTTCTCTCTGTGGGTTCCCCTGAAAAGTCCGAGAAGAGCACCTAGGCTAGCAAAAACCTCTACCAAATAAATGCAATTGTTACAAAAGAACTGTTGATTTATGAAAAGCGTGGAAAAACAGTGGTTTATTTAACATTTTATCAAGTTGTACGATGCTCAAGAATGTAATAATCAAGGAATGGGAAAAAATCACTCCAGAGGAGACCAAAAAACTGATCGACTCCATGCCGAAACGACTTACGGAGGTACTCCAGTCCGATAAGAGCACCTAGGCTAGCAAAAGCCACCACCAAATAAATACAATTGGTTCAAAACCGGTTGATTTATGAACAGCGTGGAAAAACAGTGGTTTATTTAACATTTTATCAAGTTGTACGACGCGGATACTTAATGGCTACATGATTACGAGTCTATATATGATGTGGTTAGGATGGATTCCGTGCGATTTAGTGCACAGCCTTCAGCTCCACGTCGAAGACGAGTGTCGAGTTGGGTCCGATCTTGGGCGGAGCTCCGCGTGCGCCGTAGCCCATGTGCGGGGGGCAGGTGATGCGGCGCTTGCCGCCCACCTTCATGCCGGCGACACCGACGTCCCAGCCCTTGATCACCTCGCCGCCGCCCAGGGCGAACTTGAAGGGCTTGCCCTGCAGCAGGCTGTCGAAGGTCTTGTTGTTCGACTGCAGCCGGCCGATGTAGTAGACGGAGACGCGCTTGCCCGGCTTGGCCTCGTCGCCCTTGCCGGCCACTGAATCCACCACTTTCACGCCGCCGGAGAGGGTTCGCTCTCCTCCGGCAGCCGGCTGCTTGGCCTTCGGCTCCTTGGCCTTGGGCTGCTCCTTCTTGGCCTCGGGCTTCTCCTTCTTCTTTTGCTGCTGCTGCTTGGCCTCCTCCTTCTTGGCCACGCCGTTCTGCTCCTTGCCGGCCTTCTTTCCGCCGGCAGCGGGCGACAGCTTGGCCACCTTGGCCTTGGGCTGCTCCTCCTCCGCCTCGGAGTCGTCGCTGTCCTCCTCCTCTTCCTCACCACTCTCGTCATCGTCCTCCTCTTCCTCTCCACTCTCGTCGTCATCCTCATCGCCTCCGTTCTCGAGGAAGGACTCGTATTCGCCAATCAGCTGGCTATCCTCGTCCGAATCGCCCTCTTCCTCCTCCTCCTCGCCGCTCTCCTCCTCATCCTCTTGCTGCGCCTTTTTGCTCTTCTTGCCCTCCTTGCCCTTCAGCAGCTTCTCGAGGGTGAACTCCTCATCGTCCTCATCCTCCGAATCGATGTCGTGCAAGTAGCCCAGCAGAGAAACGCTGGCGTCACCTGTGGATTATGATTGATTTTATGGGATTATAGAGAAGCCCTTTGAATATGGAAGCCCATTTAATGCTCACCTGCAGTGTAGAACATGATGCGATCGCCCTTGCTGAAGTTGAGGTCCAGGGCCACCTGGGGAATGGCCTTGGTCACGGTGGCCACGATGTACTCCTGCTTCTCGGCGGCCAGATACAACTTGGCCTCCTGGCCCTTGTCCAGGGCGACGCCGGAAATGTGGAACGACTTGATGATCGTCTGCGAGTACTTGCGCTCGGGCTTCATGTTCAATCCTGGCAAGGACATTAAACAGGGAAAATCATGGTTTACATGGGCCTACAAATGGCGCCGCTCCACGCTGCCGGCAAATCAAGCGCAAGCACGTGGCTGCGGGGATGGCGTGTTATACGGGGTGATAGTGCATCCCGGGGGGCCTTTACCACTTCTGGATGGGAATCCCTGAGTCCCCTTTGTTCAACTTACCCCAAAACATCGACATCTTGCTGGAATATGGTCTACTCGCAACGGAAAATGAATTTAAAAAAACGCGGAATTCTCAGAACGGAACCGCAGACGCCGAATTATTTGTAGGACCGTGGGTGGACCGCCAGGGAAATCTCCTTTTTAGATACCAAATTTGGATTTTAAAATATACTAGAAATTGGTCGGAAAACGGGCACACCGCAATAGCTAAGACACCAACCACGGTCGGAGCATAAATAAGTTAGATACCAAATTTCGATTTCAATAAATACTAAAATTTATCGGAAAACGGTCACATAACAATGTCCAAGACAACAACCACGGTGGGAGCATAAGATGCACTCACCCAATGCAAGAACCTATTTCTTCCCAATACTCAAACCTTGGTTTAGAACTCAACTAAGCAAAAAGGGGCTAAATTTCGCCGTGTCAACGCACCCATGCGAATGGCATCGTGATTCGTGTTGTATTTGTGCAGAAAAAATCTTGTGTCCATTGAATTTGTGGCCCCGCCTTGTTAATTTTTCCCCCTTTCGCGCTGCTGGAGGCATGCAAAGGAGCCCAGGATGACGGAGAAGATAACGCTAGCCGACGCGCTGTCCAATGTGGAGGTGCTGGACGAGCTCTCGCTGCCCGACGAGCAGCCCTGCATCGAGGCGCAGCCCTGTTCGATTATCTACAAGGCAAACTTCGATACGAACTTTGAGGATCGCAATGGATTCGTCACGGGCATCGCCAAGTACATCGAGGAGGCCACCACGCACGCGAATCTGGTGAGTTACCTTATCCGTCTTATCTCTAAAGGATTACTCATTCAGCTACCTCCCTTTCCCTGTAGAATGTGCTCCTGGATGAGGGGCAGAAGCATGCAGTCATGCTGTACACCTGGCGCTGCTGCTCCCGCGCCATCCCGCAGCCCAAGTCGAATGAGCAGCCCAACCGGGTGGAGATCTACGAGAAAACGGTGGAGGTGCTGGCCCCGGAGGTCAACAAGCTGCTCAACTTCATGTACTTCCAGCGCAAGGCCATCGAGGCCTTTTCCGGCGAGGTGAAGCGCCTGTGCCACGCCGAGAAGCGCAAGGATTTCGTATCCGAGGCGTATCTACTGACCCTCGGCAAGTTTATCAACATGTTCGCCGTTCTGGACGAGCTGAAGAACATGAAGTCCAGCGTGAAGAACGATTACTCCACTTACCGGCGTGCAGCGCAGTTCTTGAAAGTGATGTCCGATTCGCACACCCTCCAGGAGTCGCAGAATCTGTCCATGTTCCTGGCCACGCAGAACAAGATCCGCGACACCGTCAAGGACACGCTGGAGAAGATCGTGGGCTACGAGGACCTGCTCTCCGATGTGGTCAACATCTGCGTGCACATGTTCGAAACCAAGATGTACTTGACGCCCGAGGAGAAGCACATGCTCGTGAAGGTCATGGGCTTTGGCCTGTTCCTCATGGACAGCGATGCGTGCAACATCAACAAGCTGGATCAGAAGAAGAAGATCCGGCTGGACCGCATCGATCGGATCTTCAAGAACCTGGAGGTGGTTCCCCTCTTCGGCGACATGCAGATCGCTCCCTTCAACTACATAAAGCGCAGCAAGCACTTCGACTCCAGCAAGTGGCCGCTGTCCAGCTCGAATGCCATCAGCCCCCAGGCGGATTTGATGGTTCACCTTCCCCAGATTCGCGAGGATCATGTCAAGTACATTTCGGAGCTGGCGAGGTACACGAATGAGGTGACGACCACCGTCAAGGAGAATCCCTCGGATGCCGAGAATCGGATCACCGCTGATTTGGCCCTCCGTGGCCTGCAGCTGCTGTCCGAGTGGACCAGCGTGGTCACCGAGCTGTACTCCTGGAAGCTGCTCCATCCCACGGACCACCACCAGAACAAGGAGTGCCCCGTGGAGGCCGAGGAGTACGAGCGGGCCACGCGCTACAACTACACGTCGGAGGAGAAGTTCGCCCTCATCGAGGTGATCGCCATGATCAAGGGCCTGCAGGTGCTGATGGCTCGCATTGAGACGGTGCTGTGCGAGGCCATCCGGCGCAACATCTACTCCGAGCTGCAGGACTTTGTGCAGCTCTCGCTCCGCGAACCGCTGCGCAAGGCGGTGAAGAACAAGAAGGATCTGATCCGCAGCATCATCATGTCGGTGCGGGAGACATCGGCGGATTGGCAGAAGGGCTATGAGCCCACCGATGATCCGGTCGCCAAGGGCAAGAAGGATCCCGACGGTGGCTTCCGCATCCAGGTGCCGCGTCTCAACGTGGGCCCCTCCTCCACGCAGCTGTACATGGTGCGCACCATGCTGGAGTCTCTGATTGCCGACAAGAGCGGCGGCAAGCGCACGCTGCGCAAGGACATCGACGGCAATTGCCTGCTGCAGATCGACACGTTCCACAAGACCTCGTTCTACTGGAGCTACCTGCTCAACTTCAGCGACACGCTGCAGAAGTGCTGCGATCTCTCGCAGCTGTGGTACCGCGAGTTCTACCTGGAAATGACCATGGGCCGGAAAGTCAACAAGTGCTTGGTGCGGCATCAGCACAACGAGGAGTGCAAGGATCTGATCACAATGGAGAAGCGCATTCAGTTTCCGATTGAGATGTCCATGCCGTGGATTTTGACCGATCACATACTGCAAACGAAGGAGCCTTCGATGATGGAGTGAGTTGATGATAGATAGCTGGTTACTCATATATTTATTTATTTATATAAAGCATACTTAAAGTTAAAACATTAAGCTAACTAAGACTAAGAGCTCTAGCAGCTAAGGCCTTCAGCTCATCTGAGGTGTCGAATTAGATACATTTTTATTTTTATAATTGTGAATTTTGATTTTGAGCTTAATTTGGGTTTTTTCAAGGTGTCGAATTAGATACATTTTTATTTATTATTTGAATTTAGATTTGGAATTTTATTTATTTATTTACTTGTATAAAGCCAACTTAAAACTATAAGCTAACTAAGATTAAGAGCTCTAGCAGCTAAGATACATTTTATTTTATATCTGTGGATTTACATTTTGACATTAATTTGGGTTTTTCAAGGTGTCGAATTAGATACATTTGTATTTATTATTTGAATTTAATTTGGGCTTTTTTAAGAAATGAGATGATTTTAAGGACGTTTAAGGTTTGCGATGATGTTGATGTAGTTACTCATATATACTAACTATTTTTATTCCCCAGATTTGTCTTGTATCCCCTGGACTTGTACAACGATTCGGCTTACTATGCCCTCACCGTCTTCCGCAAGCAGTTCCTCTACGACGAGGTGGAGGCCGAAGTCAATCTGTGCTTCGATCAGTTTGTCTACAAGCTGAGCGAGCAGATTTTCGCCCACTACAAGCAGTTGGCGGGCAGCATTTTCCTGGACAAGCGTTTCCGCCTGGAGTGCGAGGTTCTGGGTTTCAATTTCCAGTCGTATCCACGCAATAATCGCTATGAAACCCTGTTGAAACAACGACATGTGCAACTGTTGGGTAAGTAAATTATATATCTTATTTTCTATAAGATATACCTTTAATTAATCTCGCTTTTAGGCCGTTCTATTGACTTGAACAAACTGATCACACAACGCATAAATGCCAACATGCACAAGAGCATTGAATTGGCCATCAGTCGCTTCGAGGGCAACGACATAACCGGCATTGTGGTAAGTTCTTTAAAAATAACCACCCAAAATTCGTTTCTCACATGTCTCATTTTCAGGAACTTGAAGGTCTCCTGGAGGCGAATCGAATTTGCCACAAGCTGCTAAGCAAATACTTGGCCCTGGACAACTTTGATGGCATGGTGAAGGAGGCTAATCATAATGTGCTGGCTCCTTATGGCCGCATTACACTGCATGTCTTTGTGGAATTGAACTACGACTTTCTGGTGAATTACTGCTACAACGCAGCCACAAATCGGTGGGTTAACTTCTCATCTCCTCTGTGACTTTATAACTTATAAGCATTATTTCCTCTAGCTTCATTCGAACCAAAGTAAATCTGTCGTCGTCGCAGGCCATTCAGCGTGAGAAGCCGCCACAAATGTCGCACTATTACCTGTGGGGTTCGAAGCAGCTTAACGCTGCCTATTCCACGCAGTATGGCCAGTACACTGGCTTCGTTGGATCGCCGCATTTCCATGCCATGTGCCGTTTGCTGGGCTACCAGGGCATTGCAGTCGTCATGGATATCATTCTAAAAGACATTGTGAAGCCGCTGATTCAGGGTTCCCTTTTGCAATTCACCAAGACGCTTATGATTGCCATGCCCAAGTCATGCAAGTTGCCCCGTTGCGAATATGGCTCGCCAGGAGTGCTGAGCTACTACCAGGCTCATCTCACGGACATCGTGCAATATCCAGATGCCAAGACAGAGCTCTTTCAGTCGTTCCGGGAGTTCGGCAACAGCATAATCTTCTGCCTGCTCATCGAACAGGCGCTCTCCCAGGAGGAGGTGTGCGATCTGCTGCACGCGGCCCTCTTTCAAAACATTTTCCCCCGGCCTTTCTGCAAAGGTTTGTATAGATTTATATTTATATTTGTTTTCCATACCTTATACTCTTAACTCTTTCAGAGAACGAGAAGCCGGAGGCCAAGCAAAAGCGTCTGGAAGCCCAGTTTGCCAATCTGCAGATAGTCTCAAATGTGGAGAAGATCGGCACGGCAAAGGTGAACATTTTGCCTATTAAATTCTTCACAATTAACTAACCAAAAACTGCACCCACAGCAAGCCATGATTGCGCGCGAGGGAGACTTGCTGACACGCGAACGCCTGTGCTGTGGCCTCAGCATCTTCGAGGTCATCCTCAACCGGGTGAAAAGCTATCTCGATGATCCGGTGTGGTGTGGTCCTCCGCCGGCCAATGGGATAATCCATGTGGACGAGTGCTCCGAGTTCCATCGCCTCTGGTCAGCGCTGCAGTTCGTCTATTGCATTCCAGTGAGGGGCACCGAATACACCATTGAGGAGCTCTTCGGCGAGGGTCTCAACTGGGCGGGCTGCGTCATGATCGTGCTGCTCGGTCAGCAGCGGCGCTTCGAGGCTCTGGACTTTTGCTACCACATTCTGCGGGTGCAGCGCGTGGATGGGAAAGATGAGGACGTCAAGGGCATTGTAAGTTAAGAAGGCTTTGAAATTTATAACCAAAAGATAATCAACTATATCCCATTTTAGCAACTCAAGCGAATGGTGGATCGGATTCGTCGGTTCCAAGTATTAAACTCACAAATCTTCTCCATTCTCAACAAATATCTGAAGGGCGGCGACGGCGAGGGCTCAAATGTGGAGCATGTGCGGTGCTTTCCACCGCCCCAGCATCCCTCGGTCATATCGTCATCGTCGCACTACCAGGATCCCCAGAAGCTGCGCCAGAGCATTAATAATTAGGTTATATTTAATCGCAGTTGAAATTAGTTTAGCCGTAGAAGAGTGGCCCTATTTGAATTCGATTTTATTGGAAATCTCCTTTGGTATGTCGCATTCAATCGTACAGTACGTAAAGTGTTTTATCCAATTATATAATACATATAATATTGATTCCCCTGCCAAGGCATTCGACTCAACTACTCGTACACTATCCCAAATACTCTACTCTAAGCTCCCTAAGATATTATGTTTGGCCTCCTTACTTTTCCTTCGCTTTTGGAATAGAGAGACATTCTTGTTTTGCTCCCCGATTTGAGAATCAAATTAGCCAAAGAATTGACGACAGCACGGCGAAAAATAAAAACGAATTGGCTTTAAACACAATCAAAGTATTACAAATTAGATGCCGCACAGTGTATGCCCATTAAATACATTATTATACATGCAATGAGACACTCGACAGACAGCCAACATTGAGACACATACAATTAATACAATGAACATTATCGAATAAAATTTTCATACGTATTTCTAACAAACTTGAAAACTAAGAGTTACTAGGAAGGGAAAGGTAATATAATTATTATTTTCAGCGATAATCTACATATAATACTATCTATTCGTAGCACTCACTATCTGGAAATTGAACTGACAAACATCGTTGGCAATTTGGAAGTATATTTCGGAATGGATGATCTAATACAAGTTATCTAGTGGCCAACCCATTGGTGCCATTCGCTTTCTTTCGCGGATCGGTGTAGGTGTAGAGGACCGTGACGTTATCTGCATAATTCCTGGGCAGATCAAAGTCCGCACTATCCGCTCCCAGGTAGCAGGCTCCGTAGGCACTGCTCTTGGTAATACGCACCAGCTTCAGGTTGAAGTCGATGCTCGTCTTCGAGAGTTCCGCGATGAAGGCCTCCTGCAGGAGCTCCCAGCTGGACCACACCGAACCCACGCACACCACACTCAAATCGCCGGACTTTACCAGATCCCTGTGCACGTTGGGCAGCAGGGAGAGGATCATCCTCGCTAGATGAACGCCTGCCTCTCGGAACAAACCGATGGCCAGCTTATCGCCATTCTCGGCATTCTGCGACAACTTCTTGCACAGATTGGCGAAGAAGGGCTTGTCGAACTTGGCGTAGCAGTGGGGCAGCATGTCCAGGCGCGTCTCCAGGCTGAAGTGGTCCTTGATCAGGGCCCATGTCTTCTCCACGGGAGCGGGGGACTTCTCGAAGTTGTCCATGTGGTCGAACACCACCTTGACGGCGCGGTATGAAATATACCAGGCTGTGGAGCAAAAGAGTTGGGGGTCATCATAATCAATCATTGTAATAATCAAACAACAAAGGCGGCAATGAGTCAATCAGTCGATGGGCAATCAACGCTATCAGGGAATCCTAATCGCAGTTGCAGCCGTTAATCTCGACATTGAGCGCGGCATTAGTAGACCATTAGTTGATAAGGCCACCCACTTACCGCTTCCCTCGTCGCCGAGGAAGTTGCCCCAGCCGCCGCAATTCGAAGTGGAGCCATCGGGATTGCGCAGCAGGCAGTTGGACCCCGTTCCGGATATCAGGACCATTCCTCCGATCGATGAGGCGGTGTACATGCTGCCCATGGTGTCGCTGGAGACCGCATAGCTCTCAGCCAGGTCCGGAAACGTGGTGCGCAGCTCCTGCTCCAGTTCGCGATTGGTGGCCTCCTGTTGGGATTTCGATTGAAATAAAATACATTCTTTAAGGCATAAACCCATGTACTTTTAAGACAAATTATTATAAATATTTAGACAAGTATATAAAATTTTAATTCAATCAAGTCTTTAATACCGCTAAAATTCCAAATCTCTCATTTAAAAAAGTGAACTGTAGATATTTCATCTTGTTTGCTTATATCTGAAGATCATGCTTAATAATCTGGGTAAATCCCTTCATTTTAGCAAAGATTTTGGTTTTATTTTTTAATTTTTGTTATAAAAAATCTGAAATTTAATTTTCCATCATTCGATTTTCATTCAGATATTCGGATTTGAATAAAAAAAAACCGTTTTGAGATAGTTTTGAAAAGATGTTCAAATGATCGACAGTACTTTATAGAGATTTAAACCAATCGATTTAAAATTTTTAATATATTTATAAGAAAATTGAACACATTATTTTAAAAAAATGAAATTTTCCAAGATATAAAAATATCTAAAATGCTAGGAATAGTTATTACTAACCTGTTCGCATCCGCTGAGACTCAATCCCAGGCTGGTGAGGGGCGTTTCCTTTGGAATGCCCGCCTCCTCCTTGGCCCGCTGCACCATGTCCTCGATCCGACGGGCGCATTCCGGGATCCCGATGCCCCAGTGATTCGTGCCCAGGCCACTGGTGGAGCCCACGGATTGGCCGCTCTCATCGCAGATCACCAGTCTGGAGTGGGTGGCTCCGCTGCAGGAGACAAAGCAGATGGTTTATATTTCCGGACTCTCTTCATCGTTACACAATAGGTGTGCTGGTCTTGTTTGTTATTTGACGGGGCCGTGACCGCGGACAATAAAGCGGTGGAATCAAATTGAATTAACCGATCTGGCGACGGCAAATTGGAATTAAAGAAACGCGCAATTGACAAATTCATTTAAAGAAAACGTGTCACACGCACAAATTCTATTCGACAACCCAGAGATCCCAATAAAACCAAGTCCAAGTAAGGGTAAGGAGAAAGAAAGTGTATGTACTCAGAAAAAAACTGACCAATTTGAAATAATAATAGATTTTTATATCATTCTTATAATTTTTGTAATCCTAAATTTGTTGATTTTTTATTTTGTTGCTCTAGACAACCAATTAATTTCTTCTAAAAACAACTTAAATCTTCTAAAAACAGAAAGAAAGAAAAATAGATCAATTTGAAAACTATAGATTTTTTAATTGTATTTTATTTCAGTTTCGTATGTTACTTTATTTGTTTTTATAGATGACCAATAAAAAGTAAAATTGATAATGACATGTAAATTTCTTTCTCTGTATTTGACAACCAAAAAGATCCCGCATTTGGACAAACATGTAGAAAGTGTAGATTCTAATCCAAGAAAATCATATAGGGGGCTCTGCAATTACCGTTAGATTGCACATTGCAGAGTCGTGACGTGACGAAAGTGCACTGCTTAATACGCTCAATTGAGGCAATCATTTGACGGGCCATGCAAAATGGGCACAACAAAAGACGTTTGTTATCGCCGCTTAACTATTTTTAACCGTCATTCAATTTATTTCGGTCATAAAAATACCTCTGCTGCAAATTCAAAGTAGTTGCGTTACGTAACGTAACAATTAGCGTAACGATAATCAGAGTTCCCGATTAATAATCGAATGTTAACAGAATGTTACGTTAACAGTTTGTTATGTGCGGGTGAGCGGAATCTTTTATCAAATTGTGCGCAAAAGATTAAATGTTTTACGTTAAAAATTGACTGAAACCGCACCGCAATCCTCGATCCCCGGCGTGCCACCAAGAGGAGCGTTAATTGACATGAAATTGCTGACCAATTCCCGGCTGCTGCGGCCTCTGCTGCTGCTGCGCCGCCAAAGGTCGCATGACGCAAAGGCGGAGGCACTAAATCCCCTTCAACCGGTTCCAACTGGTGTCCAACTGGCCGAACTGGAGCGGAATGTGTTAAAGCGCCACCACAGGAACAATGTGCCTCTAATACGCTCTCTAATCCAAGAGGCGGAGGCTGGAGATCAGGATAAACTAAGAAAACTACAAGCGGAACTGGAGCAACTGCCCAATGAAACGCATCCCCGCCTGCAGGATTACGGCGAGGAGCCGCGGGAACTGGCGCAGTATGTGCACCGGGAGCTGCCCGAGCAGTCCAGCCTCAAGGAGTTCTCCGAACTGGCCCGTGCCCTCAATCTCTACCGCATGGACCACCTGGGCAACTACACGGGGCACAAGAGTTACTATCTAACCGGCCAACTGGCCACCTTGGAGCAGGCCATCATACAGTACGCCCTGCAGGCAGTCACCCAGCAGGGCTTCAAGCTGATCTCCGTGCCGGATATCCTGCCAAAGGAGGTAATTGAATCCTGTGGCATGCGCACCGAGGGCGAACGAACCCAGGTCTACAAACTGGAAACGGGCGAATGCCTGTCGGGCACCTCGGAAATGGCCCTGGCCGGGTACTTTGCAAATAAACTGCTGCCGGAGGATCAGCTGCCCCTCAAGGTGACCGCCGTGAGTCGCTGCTATCGGGCGGAGACGTCCGGGCTGCAGGAGGAGAAGGGCATCTATCGGGTGCACCAGTTCACCAAGGTGGAGATGTTCGCCATCTGCACGGAGCAGCAGTCGGAGGCCGAGCTGGAGGAGTTCAAGAACATCGAGGTGGACTTGTTCCGGCGGCTGGGCCTCAATTTCCGGCTGCTGGACATGCCGCCCTGCGAACTCGGAGCTCCGGCGTACCAGAAGTACGACATCGAGGCCTGGATGCCCGGCCGTCGGATGTGGGGCGAGATCTCCAGCTGCAGCAACTGCACGGACTACCAGGCCAGGCGACTGGGCATTAGATATCGCCGATTGAGCGATGGAAAAATCCTAAATGCCCACACCATCAACGGAACGGCGACGGCCATTCCTCGCCTGCTGATTGCCCTGCTGGAATCTTATCAGCGCGGAGATGCCATCGAGATACCCGCCGTGCTGAGACCCTACATGGACAACCAAGAGCTGATCACGCGGAACAAACGGATACCGGAGACCAAGCTGGTCAAGTTCATCAAGGCCTAGGCTAACCATCCTTCTGTACCTTTGACTGTTATCATTAAAGCAATGAGCTCTGAAGCTTATCAACGCAAGCAGGGGAATATTTTGAAGCACTCCCCTTAGCTGATATCTGGCGGATCAGCGCGCTTAATCACGCTCATTAATCATCCCGATTGGCTATTGAATTACAAATTGTTCGGTGACCTTTCTACGTACCCTTCGACTCCGCCGAAATACTTCATTGTGAGTTAGTAAGCTAAAGCTGGGCCGAAACGGATCCAATCCCAACTGGAATGTGGCTGTAGATGCGGAGAAGGCGGTTCTGGTCGGTTCCTGTCCTGCAAGAAACGAAATAAAAACGAGTGCAATTAATTTTAGCACTGCAACGGGTTGTTAGCACTCGGATCAACCTTATCGCGTTTCATTAGCCCCAAAACCAAAACATTTGTCAACCGCACTGGCAAGAAAATACCGCTGACACAGGTGAAACCCAAAAAAATGGGTAACATGCGCTTAAAGAATGCAATTTTAGATCCATTGTGGGTTCTATTTATAGGGTGCGATATGTAAAAACTTCCGTTTTGAAGAGGCTTCCCTGTACCACTGATTTCCGTGCCTGCATCGAGTGAGAGTGAAAAGCGTGCGCCGTCCAAACTAGTTTATAATGTATCCCGCTCACTTTTTGCTTACGTTACACATAATATCTCGCAATTCTCCCGCAATATTAATAAAACAGCGGTTGCTGATTTGATTTACCACGCGCCACGCCCCCTTCGCCCCCACTGGCTAAACACACTCATCATTAGATTTTGATTAGAAGCGCGGCAGAGGAACTTCACTATTACGACAACCAGCTAAACCAAAACCAAACCAACTCTTACCCGGCAGAGCTGATTCCGTCCACGTTCCGAACTTCCGAACGCTTTGAACACCAACTGTGTTATGTTTGGGTACATTCTCATTTCGGGCCCAGCGACTCATTGATACTGGTATACCGGGTAATTGCAGAGTACATGGGTATATTGTATCTGGGAAACTGTATGTCTTGAGATGATAATAGCACCCCTATGTGGGGTATATATGGTACAATGCTTCCCCCAAATGTACTGTTTATAATTTAATTAACTTTGCTTATTATTTGTAAGATTGTATTCTAAGGATCCCGAAAACTGTAGGACAGGTCAGGGTGTATTTATTAAAGTGTTGTACTATCAACCAATCCACTCCCGTTCGCTACTATCTCTTAGATCCCAGACAGACGCTCAATCACCCTTTTTTAATTATTTAAAGTGGCTGGTGACGTTTTCATTCTAAGATAGTATTAAGTACTTCTCAGTTTTTCGAAATGAAATGATGTCTGCAATAAAATTCTTTGGGATAAATACTTTTGATCATAATCTAAATTGGTTTAAAGGTTTACAGAAAAGTATTGTTTTCCAGACATTTCAAATTAAGAGCAAAGATAGATAGTTCAGTAGATAGATAGTTCGAGTACCAGGTATCCCCTAGTCGAATAACGGTATTTCCCCCTTTTTATCGTGACGTAGCCAGTCAGCTGTGAATCAGTGCTGTTAAACAAACTGAAATATATATGACATTCATCGGCCAATTGGCGCCAAGTTCAAAATGCCCAAACTTCAGGTTTTCTTCTTTATGTTTATTAAAACGTTACAATTTAATTCTATTACACTTTTGCTTATAAACGAAAGAAACAAATCATTGTCAATTGGTACATCATATTTTATACATCGTTTTCATTTTCAAACTTCTAGCAAACAACAAAACGCAAACACCAAGGTTACAACTTATTTATAAGAGCGTACAAATCATATAAAAAATCGGCGAAAAATATATGGATGTTGAGAAGCGTCGTAGATACAAAAATCAGTTATGTCTCTCTTATTTTGGGGGAAAGTGGGCGGGCTCGAAAGGGGCCACACTTTTTTCTTGCTTTCTCGTTATGTACAAAAAGAAAATGTCTTAAATGTAGTCGAAGTTTGTCGTTGAATGTGCGCGAATGATGGTATTTGGGGTATGAGTGAGCCGGGTTGGAGGAGGGGTATTGCGGAAGTCCCTTTATTTAAAAAATTGTCAAGTTCTCATACGTGCCGGTGTTGTGCTGCTGATGCTGCTCCTGTTGCTGTCCCATTTTATGGTAAATCCTAACTAACATTTCTCGGAAAGAGTAAAACACGGTAAAAGTCAATTGTTGAAAGTGTGTTTCGTGCAAAGGGCGACCTCTACCACTTCTTCTTGTGCTCGTCCATGGAAACGCCGCCAGGGCCCAAGGACACAATCATGAGCAGACCGCCGATAACCGAAAGAGTCTGTAAATAAATATCAGAATATAAGAAACTACCAAATAAAATACATTAAAAATAGCTTACCTGGAAAAAGTCGTATTTCAAGAAATCCCTGAGTGGCTTGTAGGACGGAATGGTCCACCAGGCATTGTGGTACAGATTGAGGACTGTGAGCAGGGCCACCAGGATCAGGGCGGACAGCTTCGTCTTGTAGCCCAGCACGACCAGGACCATCAGAATGGAGCCGATGATGTCCTGGATAACCTGCCACACGCTCAGCTCGAATCGGATCAGGGTGATGAACATGAAGGCCAGCAGAATGCGGCCGGCCAGCTGCATAAAGTTCTTGGGCTTGTTCTCGCCCATCGAGGGCACGCCGGCGAACAGGCTGCGTCCCTCTATCCTGGCCTCGGCCAAGACGAGCAGCAGGGCGCCTATAAGAGCAAAGTTGCGCAGCAAGAACTGGAAGTCCCACAGAATGGAGTAGGCCACGGTCTGTAAAGAGAGAGTTTAATAAGTTTTAGAGCAAAGATTCTTTAGAGGATCTGCTGCAGAGACTCTCACCTGCAGCACCACAATGAAGAAGAGCAGGCCCACCGCAATGTCAACCTTGAAACGGGCCATCACCATGCCGCAGCCGCCCAGCTGGCCGAGCAGGTTGACCAGCACAAAGACGGTGGCCAGGAACTTGCCGCAGCCCCAGCTCATGTCCATATACTCGCGCTGCTCGTTCCACTGGAAGTACATGCGCAGGCCGTCCTCGAAGAAGGTGGCGATGAGGCACAGACGGGCCACCGTGGGCAGCACATTCTTGCCGCGCTTGATAACCTGTAAAAAAGTGAGTTGGGAGCTATTAGGATGAGTGCTACTGATAGGGTGATAAGGGCGCCACTGACGGCTCTGATAAGGCCATCAAAATATACAACGCTATTGAGCGTGGCTTGCGCGTAGTCGGTGGAAATCTCGCGCTGACTGTGACGTGTCTTTAAAGTTGAATCGCTCTATCTGTCGATTGCTATCTGCCAACTAACGGGTTTTGGAATGGCCTGCTATGTAACTTAAGTGATCGCTTGTATATGTAAATTATATGTGGCTTTCTAGCCCCCTCGATTACGGAACTCGACCTGGTCGACTGGTGGCTTTGGATTCCAGCTGCCCCTCGCTCTTTCTCTTTTCCTTAGCACTTTCACTTGCGGCGACAGCTCTCTCGCACGCACACAAACAGGCGCACGGCACACACACACAGGTAGCCAAAGAGGCGGCGAGAGAGAGTTTTCCCCGCGGGAGACGCAACAACTGGTAATTGAAGTACTGGAGTTGGGTCCTAACTTATTTGGAGTACTCCCCCTGGGAAGCTAATACCTGGCTGGTATCTCAAGAGTCCGGAAATCTATGTAGAATATAGTGGGAACGAACGAAGACCTCGAACTTTGCCGCGTTTGGGTGACGTTGGCAGTTTTCCCAGTCTGCAGCTGCCAGGGCGTCCCCGTAAATCGCTTTTTGGTAGCAAGTTCAGGCAATCCTCATGGTGATTAGAGCTCCCTAGGGACTCCTGACCAGATGGAGCAACCATTATATATTACCTGTTCCGCCACATCCTCCGTTTTCGCTATATACTCGTTCGGTATGCTCATCTTGGCTGATCTCTCTCTTTAGGCTGGCACTCGGCTGGTGGGGATCGCTTGGGCTGTAGGTTTCCTGGCTTCCTGGGCGTCGCGTCGCTCTCCAAATTGCAGTCAAAGTTACCAAAAAATCATGAATTAAAAGGAGTCCAAATTTTAAGCTGGCGTGGAACCCGGTATGACCGCGCCGAAAACGGGTAAAGATACCGAAAAAGACCAGTGTTGGAAAGCGACGGGCTAACTAAAATCAGCTAAAGCGTCACGCAGCTAGCGTGCTTGCATTTTTTTTACTGCCCGGAATAAAACTTGGAAAAAAATCCTGCCCAAAATGTCAGCCACCAAAAACAAACGACAGAAAATGGAGAACGCCGGCGAGGAAACCAAACCCAAGCCAAAGAAGGTGAAGGCCAAGGGCCAGGAGGACGCGGGCTATGGTTCCGGGGAGTTCTCCCTCGACTGGGAGGTGGACAGCTACCGCACGGAGTACGAGAGCGAGGAGCACTGGGAACTGCGACGCAGCTTCATGGTGGCCCACAAGGAGCGCTTCGAGGAGGACCGCCTGGTGTGCCTGGCCCAGACCTTCATCAACATGGAGTTCATGGGCTGCAAGTATCCCAGCGAGACGATGCGCCTGGTCGCGGAGCTGTCCAAGGAGATAGCCGAGGATTTCCGGCGGAAGCGCGATCAGCGCCTGAAGCGCACCTTCGTCTCCGCCTCGGACGCCGCGGAGCAGCGGGCCAAAGGTAGACGCAAGAACAATTAGCGGGCGTGGGCCATGCGCGAGAAGATTCCTTTTCATACAGTAGTAACTATACGAACCAGCCTAATGTGCCTAATCCCCAAACAAACTAGGGCGCCGGGCGGCGAACTCCCCGAAGGATAGCTCGAACAGATTCACACGAGAACGCCTCTGCTTCGGCGGCGGCGAGCCCATCGATCTCTTCCAGGGCCTGCGCTTCGGCCAGCTCATCTTGTTGCTGGCCGGCGGGCGCAACTGCCTGCGAAACTCCTGCACTGTGGCCAATTGCAAGTACGAGGAGCGCGCCAGCCTGGATCAGCAGGCCACGGACACGACAAAATACGCCGAAGTATTGCTCAATGACGAGGTGATAGCCTCTGGCCAGGGGGAGACCCTCAAAGCGGCCAAGACGGCTGCCTTCAAGCAGGCGCTGCTCATGCTGCAGTCCCACTGCTACAGCATAAAGGTGGGAAAACTATAGAAAAGCTTTATAACCCATCTAAACACTTACCTTTATTCCTTAGCTAAATGCCACTCGCGAGACCATCAAGGTGGAGAAGAGCCAGAACGGCGTGAACATCAATGTCACCAAGGAGTCGGCAGACAGCCTGGGCGATCCTAAATTAGATGCCAGCAACAAGGGCTACCGCATGATGCGTCTAATGGGCTGGGCGGGCGGAGGATTGGGGCGCCTGAAGCAGGGACGTGAAGAGCCAGTGGGGTAGGTCTTAAAATCCTTTTTGTGTGACTATAACAGTTCTAATCTCTATCTTATTTCAGCTACCTGCTAAAGAGCAATCGCAATGGCCTGGGATCCTTAAAACCCCAGGGAAATCTCGCCGACTACCGCAAGCTGATAGAAAACTATCTGAATTCGGACGACATGCGTGACATGCAGTTTGAGCCCACGTTTTCGAAGGAGGAGCGCGCCTCGTTTCACCAGTGAGCAACTAGTTAACTTGATTTTAAGGGGTTAAAGTCTTTAATGATGGTTTTTCCTTTGTAGAATGGCCAACCGACTGGGCCTGCGTTCCAGTAGCTATGGCACTGGTGAGACCCGTCGCCTGTTGATCACCAAAAAGGTCAGCTATGGCGAAATCCTGAAGGAGGTCCTGTCGCGACGCAATCCCAAGTTTTGTGAGCGCTACTTTGTGCAGGTGCCCATGCAGAAGGCCCACCTGTTTCCCGGTCATGTGGCTGGATTGGAGTTGGAAAATGTGTGTGATTAGGAGGGGGGAATAGTTAAACTCGTATAAAAGGATCTTCTTAATCATTAGTTTTAAGCTGCAGGATATAAGAAATACAAGACAAGAATTTCTAACTGTGTACTTTGTTTACGTTTCGCGCTGAATGTACAAAAATGATTGTGCATGGAAGAAGAACAGCTGCAGTTGCATTTTATTGTTTTCCTGCGATTTCCGTTAATGTGGCTGAACTGGAATTGGAAAATGTGTGATTGGAAGGGGGTAAACCAAAAAAAAAGAAATGGTTCATTTAGTAACACTCGTATAAAAGGATCTTCTTAATCATTAGTTTTAAGCTGCAGGATATAAGAAATAAAAGACAAGAATTTCTAACTGTGTACTTTGTTTGCGTTTCGCGCCGAATGTCCAGTGATTGTACATGGAAGAAGAAGAACAGCTGCAGTTGCATTTTATTATTTTCCTGCAACTCCTGGATGTTTTTCTGAGTTAAGAGATGGATAAATGCCCGCGATGCAACTGCGAGGCGTCGGGAGGAAACCGCCTGGTCACGGACAGCTGTGGACACACCAAGTGTCGTCCTTGCCTACTGGCGGATGTGTCCGATTGCCTGGAGTGCCGAGTTGCCAGCCAGGAGGAGGCTGCCAGGATCAAGAAGACGCAGGAAGCCAAAGCTAGAACTCCGGCGGACAAGCACATCGTGGTCACGGAACAGGGCTACCACTGCACCGTGTGCAACAAGGACTTTCGCAGCCGCACCCAGCAATACTACCACCTCGCCTGCGGCAATGATCTTCTCAAGAAGTTCAGCTGCCAGGAATGCGGTCGCGTGAGTTTTAGGCTGCCTCTATTATATGTACCGCCCATTAACTCGCCTTTCTTTCAGAGATTTGCCAGTCGTTCCCATTTAAAGTACCACCTCAGCAGCCACGAGGATAAATCAAAGTATAACTGCAACGTTTGCCAGAAAAGTTTCAAGCAGAAGATCATCCTGCAGCGCCACATGCTCACCCACAACCAGGAGCAGCATGTGTGCCAGATCTGCCAGAAGGTCTTCCGTCGCCAGAGCTCCCTAACGAGTCACCTAGCCATCCACAGCGATCTCGGCCTGCCGTACAAATGCGAACTCTGCTCAAAGTCCTTCCAAAACAAGACCAATCTAAACCAGCACTTGAGGAAGCACGACAAGAACAGCATTCGGCACAAGTGTAAGGTGTGCCAGAAGTCCTTTCTGCGGCAGAGCACCCTGCGACTGCACCTGAAGCGTCATTCGAATCGAGAGCGGCAATCCTGCTCCCTTTGCGGCAAGAGCTACAACGATGCGGATGCACTGGGTCGCCACCTGAGGCAGCACAAGAGCGTGGAGCGCTATCGCTGCATTGAATGCGACATCACGGTCAACCGGAAGGACAACATGCTGCGCCACCTGCGCTCCATGCATCCTGGCATCTCTTTCGAAAGCAGCGTGGAGATATGTACGCAAAGGTCCAGTGCTCAGGAAATTCCACCGCCAGCGGAGGAGGAGGAGGAGAGACCAGCGGAGGTCGTGCGGTACAACAGCGTGATCCAGAGCGTGGGCAATGTGGAGCCAGTGGTGGTTCCCCCACCAGTGCCAACTCCTCTGCCTGAAGCCGTCACAGAACACCCGCCACTGCCGGATGTAATGCCCGAGGAGAATGTCCAGCTCTATCGCAAGATCATCTTGGATCTGGACAACGAGGAGTACTTCAATGATGCCCCAGAATCCGCCCAGAAGCCGCGTGGCCCCGGGCAAAGCAGCTCCAAATTTAGCGAGATGCACTGGCGCAAGAATTTCAAGTTCTGGTACCAAAAAGAAGAAAACACAAACCTGGGATGATGATGATGATCTGACTATTGTTCGGGCCCCTTTTTTTTTGAAGGGTCCCCTGATTTATTAGCGATAAGTCAGGTGCTGCGAACCGAAGCGAACCGCAACAGTCTCTTGTTGGCCGCTAGCCATATTTCCGCGTGCCGACGTCATTGCCAAGTTCGCCGATCATCGGAAGCAGCAACAGAACCTCTTAATCAGTATTCAATATGTTGGACGAGCGATCGGAGCTCGAGGCGCTGCGTGAGATTTATTACCTAACTGATGGTTCTTCCGGACGAAACTGGCGCAAGTTGCTCGCCCTGGGCGACTCCCTAGATCAGCAGCTCAAGCGCAAGCTGCTCTGGATGTGGCCCACTTCGGTGGACCTGGATTACTTCAATCAGCTCCTGGCCATGCATCACATTCATCGTATTTTAAGCATAGGCTGCGGCAGTGGTCTCCTCGAGTGGCTAATGACTGCTTCTGGTGGACGGAAAGTGTCCATGTTTGGCCTGGAAGTCGACCGCAACTGGTGGCAGAGCAAGTACTCCGTTCGCAGCTTCATACCCCTGAACTACGTGGAGGATGCTGGCCAACTGGATGCGGATCTGTTGACCAGCTGCTGTAATAACAACCCTCCTTGTGCCTTGCTCTTTTGCTACTTTAACAATCGTGGTGCATTCCTGGACTACCTTAAGGTGTTCCCGGGAAAGTGGCTGATACTGATTGGACCACTGCCCGCCCGGGGTATCCACACGGATCCCAATCCGGTGTATCCCCAACTGCCCGAAGACCAGTGGATCCTGCGAGAACGCCTCAACTGGACTGATCACAACATTGTGGCGTTCTACGAGAAGATAATCTAGTCTAGTTTGTAGTAGTATCTATATAATTGTATTAATAAACCATTGCCTTATGTCCTAGTTATTAGTTCCTGTTCACTTCTATGTGGAACTTGCAGGCCGGTATGCTCTGCACCTCGGCGGTCACGGTGCTGTTGATGCCCAGATTGCTGAGGGCTCCGCGCACCAGGCCGCAGGTGAAGGCCACGAACTTGGGCGCGTGCTCCAGCTGCTTGGTGCCCGGCGAGATGCGCGTGAGGAAGCGGAACGCCTTGTCCTGCACCACATACATGCCGTGGTTGTTCGTCCGCAGGTTGTCCACCTGCTTCTTGTAGATGAGTGTCCAGAAGTCGGTGCAGATGAACTTCATGGTCTCCAGTTCGTCCTTGAAACGCGACACCTCGCGGGTGAGCCGCTCAATCAGGCGGTAGCCGGTGGTGAAGCCAATGTACTCCAAAGTGGCCAGGTCGTGCTCCTAAGGGAGGAATCAAGGGGAATCTTTTGTAGGAGGTGTTTTTTGGTATCTAGTGACTTTCTACCTTGTTGCTATCCAGGCAGTAGTTTACTATCTCTGCGTGCAGGCAGTCAAAAAGGATTTCCTCTGACATTTTGGAGATTCTGGAATTTTTCTTTGTGGTTTCAACTAATTTTCCACGGATTTGTTTTGAATTGCTGATGAACAGCTGTTTTGGACGTTGACGACCGAATGGCAATCTAACTTTTAGCGGTTTTTTTATTATAGAGGGGATTCCCTAAACTATTAAAATGCTGAATTGTGGAAAATGCAACAAAAATTTCAACAATTAAGGGAACGACCCAAAATAATACCTGTTGAATTGTCAAACATTTGTTATTGCTTGTTACTGTCTAAAATTGTTACCAAGGTAAAAAGAACCACAAATTGCTGACATTTCTGAAAGTTGACTTTGCATGGACAAATTCAACAGTTTAGGGAATACCAAGAATTTGTTTTGTTTTATTTGTTTTGTGCTTATTTTTAGGTTTTAGAAAATGCAATTTTTACTATTTTTAGATAATAAATAAATAATTAAAATTTTTGACTAATAAAGGGGTGCTTATTAAGAACCTTATAATTTTCTAGCTATTTTCTAGCTACATGTTGCATTTGGCCCTAGCTGATTTGGCACTACTGATAAGTGAGGGGGTGTTTTGGGCAGAAGCAAAACAAAAAATGTACACAAAACACCGCAGTTTAAAATTCGCAAAATTAGTGAATTAAAAGTGTACAATAAGTAGAGAATCCAGGATGCTGGACATGCGACACAAGGCGGCGCTGCACAGCATGGTGTGTCAGGCGATCCTGGTGCTGATCTGCCTGGTTTGCTACGGATGCGGCGGCCTCAACGGAGCCAAGTTCGTCTTCGATGACACGGTGGCCATCGTGAAGAACCGGGATGTCAACGCGCTGCCCACCAACTGGACGGCGATCTTCACCCACGACTTCTGGGGCGCCTCGCTGCTCAGCTCGGATTCCCACAAATCCTTCCGCCCGCTGACCACGCTGATGTTCCACTGCGAGTACGCCTTGCTCGGCCTAACGGCCGCCCACATGAAGTTCCTGAATCTCCTGCTGCACTGCGTCAACACGCTGCTCATGTGGCGACTGGTTCGCTCGCTCTACGTGCCCGAGGTGAACACGGAGCGATGGGCCATCCTCGCGGCAGCGCTCTTTGCCGCCCATCCCATCCACACGGAGGCGGTTTCGGGTGTGGTGGGCAGGGCAGAGCTCATGTTCGCCATGATCCACCTGCTGTGCCTTCTGCTGACCGTGGCAAACACCGGAAAGCAAGGTCCCCAGACTGGCGGCGTAATCCTCCTGCTAACCGCCGTGGGAATGCTCTTCAAGGAGTCCGCCGTCACCATTCCCATGTCGTGTGTGCTGCTGGATTACTTCCAGAACGGCTACTACCATCTGAGGGTCCGGGATCAGTGGAACCTCTTGTACAGCCGGCTAAGCTACTTGGTCTACTTTGTGGGCACTTTGGCTCTGCTGGTGGCTCGTCTTTGGTGGCAGGACTTTGAGACGCCGACGTTCAAGGAGGTGGACAATCCAGTGGCTTACAACGAGCACATCCTGACCCGCGGCCTCTCGCAGCAGTTCCTGCTGGTCATGAACATCTGGCTGATGCTGTGCCCCCACTGGCTGTGCTATGATTGGGCTTTGGGTTGCGTCAAGCTGGTGACCAGCATCTGGGATCTGCGGCTCCAGGGCGTCATCGGGTTCTACTCCCTCCTGCTGGTGGCCCTGATGAACTTCCGCCGCCTGCCTGGTTTGATGTTAGCCCTGGGATTGATGATTATACCATTTCTTCCTGCATCTGGAATCATTTGCGTGGGATTTGTGATTGCAGAGCGGACGCTTTATGTGCCCTCCATTGGCTTTTGCCTGGTGTCCATCTATGGCTTCCTCTACTGGTATGATTGCAGCAGAAGTTACTGGCGCACTGCCTTGCAGATCCTCCTCATGCTCCTCTTCACCGTGATGATGCTGCGGACGCGGCAGCGAGCCACCGACTGGCTGAACGAGGAGCAGCTCTTCCGGTCCGCCCTGCAGGTGTGTCCCGACAACGCCAAGGTGCACTACAACATCGCCCGGCTGGCCACGGATACGGGCAACAGCACGAAGGCCTTTCAGCACTACCACAAAGCCATTGAATTGTATCCGAGCTATGAGTCTGCTTTAATGAACCTGGGCAACCTTTACCGGGAGCATGGCCAACTGGCCACCGCCGAGGATTACATACGATTGGCTCTACAGGCGTTTCCCACCTTTCCGGCCGCCTGGATGAACCTGGGCATCGTGCAATCCGCCCAGGGAAAGTTCGACAAGGCGCTGGCCAGCTATGAGAAGGCCCTGATGTACCGGGCCAACTTTGCCGTCTGTTACTACAACATGGGGAATCTGTATCTGGAGAGGAAGCAGTATGCCGAGGCCCTGCATCATTGGCAGCACGCTGTGGCGCTGAATCCCCGCCAGCCGAAGGCCTGGGCAAACATTCTCACCATGCTGGACAATCGAGGATTGCAGGACGACGCACTGCGCATCTCAAATCAGGCTTTGCAGCATCTTTCCAACGATGCCAGCATCCTGTTCATACGAGCCAATGTTTTAGGCAAACTGAAGCACTACGCGGAGGCGGAGACGCTCTACAAGCGCGTCATTCAGCTGGAGCCCCTGAACATGCTCTACTATACGAATCTCGGGGTTCTCTACCATCGGTGGGACAAGTCGCAGGAGGCTATAGAGGCTTATCGGACGGCGATAAGTATCAATGCGGCGAGGGCGACGACGGCGCGGGAGAATCTCAGCAAGCTTCTGAAGCGCCTGGAGCGGGAGGCGCAGGTCAGCCAAAGATAAGCAGTTCCACCGCAAAATAATATAAGCTAAATATTTAAATTTCATAAAATTATATGTACATTTCTTTAGCAGCAATAATCCCAAACAAAATATGAGGTTGTGGGTTCCATTCACTAGTCTGAAAAATATATATAAATGTACTTACTCTCAGAAGACACTAGAAATAGATAGTATAATTTAATTTAGAGCACTATTAACTTAAGTGCAACATATCTATATCATATCTCATCATTGCACCCTATTTATTTTTAGGATAATTTATTTATTTATTAATTTACTCGAGGGTATATACAATTAATGTTAAAACTAATTAATGATCGAACAATTACGACGACGACTTACATAAATTAACTAAAGCCTAGAACGTAAGGACTACATGAAATACTTTAGAAAATAGTGACAATTGTGGCACCATTGTAAAATGATTCAATTCCATTAAAGATTCATGATTTTAAAATAATAATACCGCAAATTACACAAGTTCATATGTATAACACATATAAACAGATCGGGGCTGGTGGAGCATTGGAACATGGAGTAAGCTGAAACACTTTGGCAGAATGCGAGACTACACGGGTCGAACAAAAGAGAGATTAGCGTAGATATCAGTAAATATTCAAGATACAGGCATGCGTCTATGTACTATATGCGTAGGCGTAAAGGTATAACAAAGTCTTTGTGTTTGAGATACGCGACTGTTGGGTTTTTCTGGGCGAGCAAGCGAGCAACGGCGGTTCGGAACTAAATCAAATAATAATGAGCAAATAACACAGAGCTAGCACAGCAACAAGTGGTGTGGGCGATCTACAGCAGCACGAATTCCTCGCTCTCACTATCATCTTGGTCATTGTCGTCGCCATGTGGCTGCGGCGGCGACAATTGGCTGCCCAGTTCCTGGGCGAGAGCAGCCACCTGTTTGATGAGCGGCTTGTACAGCGAATCGCTCATCTCATCCCGCTCGTGATCCAAGCAGCGTCCCCGCGAGAAAGAGAACAGTGGGTAGTTCATCTCGACTGGTTCGGCCTGTTGATGACTTGATTGAGGCGTCACCTGATGGCCTCCAGCTGCCTTATCCACCGTTGCTCCGGAGGCACAGCGCATGGGATGCAAGTACTGCAAGAAATAACCAAAAAATTAGAAGAATTTTAGATAGAAATATTACGTTATAACCCACCAACTGCACGCTCTCCATGAAGCTGTCGAAATCGCTCTTGGTGGCACAGTAAAATCCGATGCAGCAGCTGGGATCCATCTTGCTGGCCTTCAGCTTGCGCGGCGACTTGCAGTGGAAGGAGTGCAGGGAAAAGTTCTCCTGATTGACATCCACCATTTCCTGGCAATAGTGCGGATCCAGGTGAATAAGCCTATCCTCCTGGAAGCCCACAAAGTACAGCGAGTGCTTGGGCTTGCCACCAATGATGCCCAGGCAGTGCTCCGTACTGAGCAGCAGCTTCAGGCAGTGGGCATACACGGGATTCAGCTTGTCGCTGCCCAGGCGCAGCGGGATGAGCACGATGAGGGACTTCCAGTGCTGCTGCTGCTCCGACTTGGGCGTTTCCGCCTGCGGGCGCTTCGCTTGCTGCCAAGGCACATGGGGTTTGGGCGCCGGTTCGGGAATGCTGCACTGATCCTCGATATCCTGTATGTAAACTGAAAGTATAAAACACGGTTATCAATACGTTATCAAATAAGCCAGTGAGTAATGAGCTAGGTAACCAAGGTTGCAGCAATTACTCATTTTCAGCTATCAATGTGTCACGGCTCTTATCTTGTGAATCTTTCGGTTTAGGGCATACTCACTCGTGCAATCTTTGGCCACATAGACGCTGATATTGTCAAAGTCTGCATTCTCCTGAGCTGCATGCTCCAAGGCGTGTCTGTTGGGGGAGTGGGTGAAGATTTATTAGCTTTGTGATTTGATAAGAACATGCACTTACTTTAGCAAATAGGAAACCGAGGCGGGGCCGTACCAGTCGCCAGGCTTCTTGCCCAGATCCTCACCCAGCCGCACCAAGGCGTGAATGGAGAAGGGGCTGTTCTTCGAGGAGCTGTCCCCAAACCATTTGACGATCTTCTTGTGCATGTTATCCTCGTAGGTGGAGTGCAACTGGGACTCGGAATCATAGCGCCAACCTGAAAGGGGGAAACTCTGATTAAAATCTATTTATTTATTAGAGCCCTGCGTGAATCAATCAATTTTTGTTTTATCATAGTATGCCATGAAATTTTTGATTTAATTAATTCAATTCTTTGTGAAATAAATTGAATGTTTTTCTAATTCATTTCGAATTGAATGAATGAATTTTTTTAATTTGCTTTGTGCTTTCTTTTAAGAACAAGAAGTGGAACATTTTTAACAAACCAACAAACCAACCAACTGCATAGTAAATAAAATTCAGGCAGATTTAATCACAAAAGTAAGGCCCTTTCTTCTTCTAAAGAAATTGTCCTTTGAATTCAATTCTATTTAACTCAAAATTCAAATTCATTCAATTCTATTTAGCTCAAAATTCGAATTAATTCATTTATATAAAACAAAAAATTAATTGAATCCATTCATGCAGCTTTCTTTAACTTACTGCGTCCCAGGAAGTGGCAGATGAGTCCCTGGGCCAGTAGCATCTGGCCACTTCTCAACATGCAACCCCAGCCGCAATCCGAGGTGTAGTTAGAGCCATTCATGATGGGGAACTCCCGCCGGTAGGTCATCCAGATTCTGCTGTAGAAGTCGCGCCGAAAGCCCTCGATGCCCTCCTCCCAGGGCTGTTCGCCCACCTGGTTCTCCGCCGCATCCATGCCCAGCTCCTGGGGCACCACAATCTCGTCGATCTGCTGGGGATTCAGAGTGGGATACAGCGAGGTCGATGTTGTGGAGGTGGCCTGTATACTGTCGAAGGCCGAGGTGGCGTGGTCGGGCGATGCATCCGCTGCTCCGCTGGGCAGTTCGGTGATGGAACTCTCCATGCTGACGGGCGGCGTGAAGCGGCGATGATAGCATCGTCCTAGGAGCCACACGGGCTGCTCCTTGGAGAAGCTCGTCTGGCGCATCTTGCCGCTCCAGCCGTACTTCACATTGTGCCACATGGCCACCAGCTTGGACTCCATGGAGGGCGTCTTGGTGGGCGTTCGGTTGGCCGACAGCAGGTCACCGGTTTCCTCGCCCTGCTGCTGCTCCACGTGACCGCAGCTGGGAACGCTGCTGCTGCCGCCGCTGCCGCCGTAAAGCTGACTGAAGGCGTTCATGAAACGTGATGACGTCGATATTTTGCGCTGCGGTGTCGCTGGCGCAGCGTTTTCCGACCTGAGGTTCAGATTCGCACCTGAGGTGCTCACGGGCGAGGGGGAGGGGGCGCGCGGAACGGCGAATACGGTGCGGGGAATCGTCTGAATGGGGGCCGCCTGCTCCTCCTCGACGGCGCCGTCCTCCACCAAAGGCAGGGAAAGAGGATCTGCATCCTGCTGGCACATCCGGCTGCCCTCCACAATGCTGCCCTCGCCGGCGGCCTCGAAGAGCATCAGTTTCTCGTCGGTCAACTTGGAGAGGAGGCCGTCATAGTTCATCTGGGACATGGACATGAAAACAGAGGCGGAAGAGGAGGAAGTGCTGGATGAGCGACCACGACGACGATGCTTTGTCCGCTTGGGGAACTTGGGTAGTTTTGGAAACTTGAAGAACTGCGGCATGGCAATCTCTCGGTGCGAGCCACTTGGTGGCCCTGGCTCAACTGACAACGGCCACCGATTGCGTGCTAATTACAAATGTTTACTCACCGTTTATTTGTTGACAAAATAAAGATAAAGTTGCTCGAAATTTTTGTTTTTCTTATTCTTATTCGCGAGAAGTACAATTGCCAATCGCGGCGTTGCCAGACCGCCGCTCTCCTCTATTGTGAGTATGTTTGTGTGAATGTTGTGTTCTGCATTTCGCTAGCTCAGGGGCGGAATTAAAAAATAAAGGTAATAAAATTAAATATTCATTTCCTTACTTATAAAAAAAAATGATTTTTAATATTCCAATTTGTATTCAGTGTTTTTAACTTACTTTTTTATTTATTTTATTTATGTTTTACACAGTATTTGTTGTATTCAATTTAATTGGTTACTCATAGCTTCAATTTTAATTTTATATTTCTCATTATATTAAATACCAAGCTCTAAAATTATTTAACCAAAGAAACTCTATGAGGGGTTTCACCAACGCATCATTCGGAGTAAATTTGCTCAGATTTTGTTGGTTTTAAATCGAATACTTATGTTTCAAACTGTTTTTCTGTGACACCTAAATTTGCTTTTGGTGGGAAATTTGGTTGGGAGAGACCTATGGGTCACCCTCCGTATTTCTAAAAGTCGCCACTTTCAGTTCCTCTTAAACAAAACGCTTTTAAAGCTCTTTAGAGATTTTGATCGATTTCCGGGGAATCCGTTTCGTGGAACACCCCTCTCCACTTCCGGCATGTGGGCGGTCTGGCAACCCCCGCCCAGAACAACCAGCTGTGCGGGTGCTAAATTCTATTGCGCAACGCAAAATTCTAAACACAACGCGACCGACAGCCACCCAAAATGGTAAGTAATGCAAATTAATGCGGTTTCTTAATCAAAAAACTATTCCCCGCCGACAGCAAGGCCCAATTCAAAGGTTGGTGTACACATTCGGTCATCGCACCTGCGGCCAATTGCCGCTGATCGGCGTAGCAGCGATATCGAGCACAAAACCACCTGCGATGGCGCACTCCGTCCGCCCATCCTCCTCCTCCTCCGCCTCCTCTGCCTCCTCCGTGCTGGCCACGGAGTCCTCGAACAAGGGAATGATCATCCTGAACCGCCCGAAGGCACTGAACGCCATCAACCTGGAGATGGTGCGCAAGATCTACAAGCATCTGAAGAAGTGCGAGAAGTCCAAGTCGCTGCTGATCATCAAGGGAACGGGCGACAAGGCCTTCTGCGCCGGCGGCGATGTGCGCGCCCTGGTCGAGGCGGGTCCCACCGACGAGTCCAAGAGCTTCTTCCGCGAGGAGTACAGCACGAATGCCCTGATAGGCAACTACAAGATTCCCTACATCGCCATCATCGACGGCATCACCATGGGCGGCGGCGTGGGGCTCAGTGTGCATGGCAAGTACAGGGTAGCAACCGATAGGACCCTGTTCGCCATGCCCGAGACGGCGATTGGCCTGTTCCCGGACGTGGGCGGTTCTTACTTCCTGCCCCGCCTGCAGGGCAAACTGGGAATCTACCTGGGACTCACCGGCTACCGGCTGCGCGGCGGCGATGTCTTCTACTCGGGCATTGCCACGCACTATTGTGAGAGCAGCAAGATTCCCGAGCTGGAGACGGCACTGCTCAACTGTCCCGATGCCGACGATGTGCCCGAGCTGCTGCAAAAGTTCCATTCCACGCCCGAGAAACCCTTCTCGCTGCAGCCCTTCCTGGAGCAGATCAACAGGAACTTCTCGGCGGGAACGGTGGAGGAAATACTGGAGAATCTGCAGAACGACGGCAGCGAGTGGGCCAAGAAGACGTTGGAGGTGAGAGCGGTTGGGGCTTACTTCGCGTAGTAATAAGATATATATCCTCTTAATCCGAAGAATTCGCGGTCTTTGAAAAATCGATTAATTTAAGAACTTCTATAGATTTTATATTAATTCTTCCAACACGCGAATTCTTAAGGTTAACAGGATATATTTGTGTGGATCATATATGACTTAACTAAAAAACCTAATGATATATTCTATATCGAATTTTCTAAAAACGCGAATTCTTAGGAACAAGAGGATTTATTTGTGTGGATCATACATATTTTAACTAAGAAACCTAATGATATGTTCTATATTGACTTTTCAAAGACCGCGAATTCTTAGGAACAAGAGAATTTATTTGTGTGGATTATACATTTGTAATATTTGAAGACCACAAGAATTCCCAGGGGCGGAAGAAGTATCCTTTAATTTTAAATATTATACACAAATAACCATCTTGACCTTAAGAATTCGCGACGGGTCGATGAGCTGTGAAAATTGTAATATACTTGAAACCCACTTGGGTCGTTTGGGTTTTGGGTATTTGGGTTTGGGTAAAAATTGACTCAGTACCCAAATACCCAAACCCAAACGACCCAAGTCAAATGGGTTTCAAGTAGGTCGGTTGGATTTAAGTTTTGACAAACAAGTCAGTGCTCTAATAAGAACACAATCCGATGTTAATTGGTTGGGCCAATCAAGAATGCCTGGCGCGCTTTTAGCGCCTCAATATTTAATCCGTTCCCAGTCAATTAGCGGGGTTTTTAAGCAGCGGCACGACTTCACACAAGTAACACCCTAATTATAGCTTGTTTATCTGTTCTAGACCCTCTGCAAGGTGTCGCCTACCTCGATGAAGGTCACGTTCCGCCAGCTGGAGCTCGGCTCGCAGCTGTCGCTGGCCCAGTGCCTCATCATGGAGTACCGCCTGGCCGTGCGCCACTTGGAACGCAGCGACTTCAAGGAGGGCGTGCGCGCCCTGCTCATCGACAAGGACCAGAAGCCCCAGTGGCAGCCGGCTCAGCTGGCCGATGTCAGCGAGGAGCATGTCCAATGGTTCTTCCGCAAGCTGCCGGACACCGAGGAGCTCAAACTGTAATGTCCTGTTTGTCTTCCGTTGAGCCGCTCATTTTTTATATACACAAGCACTCCCGAACACCTTTGTATATATAAATCTATGCAAGCTTGCGTTATGTTTATGCATGGTTCCTGCCTGCCGCCTGCCGTTTTGCAATATTCGTTATATTTACCTATCTACCCACGTTCTATGGCCACCGTTTGACGAGCTCTGTTGCTTAATTATCCGCAATCTCTTCTCTGTTTCATTCCAACAGCGAGTAACTTCGAGGGAAGGTCTCTGCAACCTGTATTTACCAATAACGATCGTGAAATTGAATGCATTTAAATATATGATATACATATATGCCTATATATATTATATACAATTCGTAGTCCTAATACAATCAGTAATTGTGCCTAAAGAATCGTTAGAATTCGTTTAACAAGAATAAAGTGAAGTGTATACGTTTAATAACTGCTCGTTGGCGGCGTTTCTAAGCACTGTTGTCCTTCAGTTTGATGCTATCCTCCACCATGTTGGACAACTCCACCAGTTTCTCGATCTGCGTGGGCTGGAAGTTCAGTTTTCCGAGCTCCTGCTTCCAGGATGTGACATCCACTCGAAGCTGCACGCGAATCTTATCGTCGTCGGACATCACAGCTGAACTTCCTGCCGACGACGAGGCGGATCCGCCACTTTTTACATTCCGCAGGCGGCGCAAGGATTCCTCAGTTTTCTGCACGGAAGTGAGCACATCACTCACCACGTTGAAGTAGCTGCAAAGAATGGAAGATAAGAAAGAATCCTACTAGTAAATCACATCCACTTACGCTTTGGTTATGTGACTGGCTACCTCCGAGAGAATCTGCTCCACCACTAAAGTGCCAAGTTGGGATTCATTCTGCTGGGCAAACGCTTTGAGCGGCCGATGCATTTGCTCCACGTAGCCAGAACAGCGAGAGGGAACCTCTCGATTGGTCTTGCGATACAAGCGCGGCAAGTCGTTCACCTGGCGCACATTGTCCGTCTCGCATTCCCCGATCAGCAGCTCCACCAAGGTCTTTTGGATGCTCGTCAAATGGGCACCTAGCGTATCTCCCAGTGCAGCCATGGATTTGCCCAAAACATCGTTAAAAATTTTCGTGCGCTGCTCGGCGGGCACGGATTGCACAATCAATTGCTGAAGCTCCGGCAGATAGGCGTCCAGTTTGCGAATATCTGCATGCAAAGCGATGAGCAGCTGGTGGCGAGTGTAGGACTTGGCAAACTGGCTGCCCTTGGACACGGCGATGGCATCCGTGATCCAGCGGGAGAGACGCAGGACTATCTGCACGTTGAGCTTGTAGAACTTGGGAAACACCTCCGGCAGGTAAACTCCCTCCGCCCAGCAGCGTGACATGGCCTCCTTGGCGGCATTAAATGGGGCTAGTTTGTAGTCTTGATCACCGAGATTGCTTTTCAAAGTGTCGTCCTGCAGCACGGGCTCCAACTTGGCTTCAAAGTGACCAGCAATTTCCTAGGATCATTAAAGAATCAATGGTAAAAACTGAACTCTATATGTATAATAAACATATCCCACCTGGAAACATATCTGGAAGTAGACCGGTAGATTCCAGCGGGCCTCGAAACTCTTGGTTTGCTTGTGCTGGCGATAGAAGGTCACCGCCTGCTCGCCGGAGCTGGTCAACAGCTCCTCTATTTTGCCCAGAAAGTCGCGGGTGCACTTGTACTTCACATAGAAGACCTCCGAGTTGCCCGGAGCAAATATGGAGTTCATGTGGAGCTCCAGACGGGTCTCCACATCGGACCAGTAGCTGTTGACCACAAAATTGAAGCCCGGAAACTTGTCGGAGTAGAGAGTGAGCCGCAGCAGGTCGGTCATGTGCAGCGAAATAAAGTTAAGGATCTTGCTGTAGATCCCAGCAAGGCCCTGCGGTGAGTTCTGCAGCTGTTGCTCCCCGATGACGCCGGTCATGTAGGGCGCCACCACATCCTCGCGAAAAACGCGCTCCGCCTGGCCACAGGCATTAAGGGTGATGTAGATGCGCAGGCAGCGTTCCAAAGCTTCGGGTGCCGAGTTGCGGGCTTGGCTAAGGGCGTCGTTGAAGAAGCGTCGCAGGTGCTGATGCAGTTGCTCCTCCAGCTGCTGAATCTTGCCCTGCTGTTCGGCATTTAAGTGCTTTGCGCAGTGCTTCTCGTGAAACTTCAACTGAATTAGGTCCAAGGCGGCGCGCTCCAGGTCAACCGCCTTGATGGGCTGCTCTCCACCTAGCTTCCGGTCGATGAGCTCCTGCAGTTTGCTGGTGGTCTCGTAGACCTTTTTAAGGCTCTGCAATCCTCGCTTGAACTCGCGCAGCTTTCGCTTCTCCTCCAATTGGGCTTGAAGCTCCGTGACGTTCTCGTCTATGAGGCCATGGATGCTCTCGATGTCGCTGCGAAACTGCTCCAGCGGCCGCTGAATGGTCTCTATGCTCTGGTCCAAACCCACCAGGTTGGCGCTCAGGTTCACAAAGTCCGCGTAGTCCTCGTTGATCAGATCAATCATAGCCGCCCGCAGGCCTTTTAAGTAGAGTCCCAGGTTGTCGCGCAGCTGCTCCAGACTCGGTGCATTGCGGTTCTTGTGCAGGAACTCGTCCACCGAAAAATTGGCCTGTTTGAAGGAATCTCTTAGCAAGGCAAACATCTGGTGGGGATTACTCACCTTCATAAACTCGTTCTTGTCGAAACACAGCTTCTCCGCGGTGCTGGTGGAGCCGGCGGCCAGGTGGGCCGACTTCTTGACGGGATCATGCATGGCCTGCCGCGGGAATTTAATTAATTAAATATAAATTTAACAAATTGCCACGAAAGTAGAGATAATTATCGATATTTCTAAGATTCGATATCAAAGTTACAATTTCGATAGCAGACGATAGACGAAAGGGCATCGTATTTTTCCCATCACTACATTTTTGTTTACAAAAAAAGCCGAAATAATTGGGCATTTTTATCTGTTTTAAGGAGAAGTACTATTCGAAACCAGTAAATCCCTCATCATGCCGAAGAACGGAGGTGCCGGGCACAGGAACAACGCCCCCAGGAAGCGCCAAACGCCGGCGGTGCAGCTGGACGAGGAGAATCCCATTGTGCAGGTAGCTTTCTTCCAATTATACCAATTTCCTCAATTTAAATAGTGTTTTTTACAGGCCTTTCGCAACTATTCCAATGAGCTGACCATGAAGCACGACCGCCACGAGCGGATCGTCAAGCTGAGCCGCGACATCACCATCGAGTCCAAGCGCATCATCTTCCTGCTGCACTCCATCGACTCGCGCAAGCAGAACAAGGAGAAGGTCCTGGAGGAGGCTCGCCAGCGGCTGGCCAAGCTGATTGAGGTGAACTTTAGGGCCGTCGCCCTGGAGCTGCGCGACCAGGATGTCTACCAGTTCCGCGGCGCCTACTCGCCGGGCCTGCAGGAGTTCATCGAGGCGTACACCTACATGGAGTACCTGTGCCACGAGGATGGGGAGGCCTCCGGCAGCGAAACCAAGAGCGTCTCCGACTGGCAGGCCATCCAGGCGGTGATGCAGTACGTCGAGGAGATCAAGGTTGAGAAAGTGGAACCTACAGAGGGTGAAGAAATGGATGTAATACCGCTGGCGGAGAAGGAAAACCCCAGGAAATTCCAGTTCTTTGTGGACCCAACTGAATATATACTGGGTTTATCCGATCTTACGGGGGAACTCATGCGCCGCTGCATCAATTCGCTGGGCAGTGGCGATACAGACACTTGTTTGGAGACCTGCAAGACCTTGCAGCACTTTTACACGGGGTAAGTAACCCTTTTGATACACTGTATTGAAACTAATACCCATTTCCCTTTTAGCTACATCAGCCTGAACTGCCAGCGAGCCCGGGAACTGTGGCGCAAGATCACCACCATGCGACAGAGCGTACTCAAGGCCGAGAATGTCTGCTACAATGTGAAAGTGCGCGGCGGCGAGGCTGCCAAATGGGGCGCCACCTTCGACCAAAAGCCAGCCGAGGATGTGGACGAGGGCTTCTACTAGATATAAGTTTGCAACAATGGAATATACATTTATGAATTAAATGGTGATTAATCTAAGTTAACAACGAATTGGAATGTGTAGTTTAGTCATAATCATCGCTGTTTACGCGCTGACTTTCAAACTCCAGCTCATCATCCTCATCTTCGTCTAAATCTGCGCCAGGACGATAGTCCGCATCATTGTCATTATCGCCTCCGAACGGATTCTCCTCCTCCTCCTCATCATCATCCGTTCCAGAGTCTTGATTATTTTGCCGCTGGGCTCGTCGTTGGCGCAAGCGATTGCGGATGTTCTGGGCGGAATTGACTACACTGATCTTTAGCCCATTTGAAGCGGGTGCAAAGGAAGCGTCCTACTTACAATCCGGCGGATGGGAGTGCTCCTGAAAGTGAACCGGATTGCGGCGATAGCAGGCGTTGCCGTAGGGACAAGCTGGAGTTCCGAGCGGCGGCTCTGGAAAGTCGGGACGCCGGTAGTCCTGGTCACCTGGATGGGCTTCAGCACTCCGGTGAGCTGGATTTCGTCTGGGATTGGATGATGGTATTATTTGAGTGGTTTAAATGGAAGTGGTTTACTTGGCATTACCTGTAGCATCGGATGCCAAAGCGACAGGATATACGGTTGCTGCTAGAGGACACTGAAGAGTCAACGGAGGCATCTCCATTGGAATTGGTGGGTTCAATCTTAACCACCGGCGATGCAGCTTCAGTTGCAGTTGAATTTTCATTGGCTGTTGGTTCTGTCTTTACAGGGATTGTAGCATCACTGCTACTGGGTTTATCGTCTTCCTGTGCCTCCTCAACAGGTTCATCCTTTACTTTAACTGGAGTATCAGGATTAGGTTCCGTTTTAATTGAAACCCCGGGCTCCTCTGATTTTACGCGCTTAACTGGACTGCTTTCCACCTCATTTTCATCCTCACTGCTTGTGGGTTCTTCGGGAGACTTTCTTTTAGTGCCACCATCTGCTACCGAACCATTGGTTCCCCCCGCCGTTTTATAAACATTTTCCATTTCCTCCGAAGCACTCATTTTAAAGAAATAAAATAAGTAAGGTTGTTCAAAACATTCGTATTTCACAAGAACGCAATTGTATTTGGTTTTGGTAGTTTGCAACACTAAACCGTGAAATAGAGATGGAACTCTGAGGTTACGTTTCCATAGGCTTATCGATAACTAAATGGCGCCAGTTTCAAATTCAATTTATTCATTCAAAAAGTCAAATATTTCATTAATAGTTAATGGCCCCTCAAACTCGTCTTCGGTATAGCTATTGGGGTCTCTCATATCCATTTTGATCGCACAGAACCCTAAGTTTAGTTCCCCATTCGCAGCTCTTATTGGTGCAACTGACTGATCATTCAACACCACGATCGCTCGATTTTCGGTACCGTCTTTCTTCACTTCAAGAACCTTCCAGTCGTGAGTGGGAAGTTTGGGGTTACATTGCTGTATCATGAAAAGGATATCTTCGGGTGTCTTGATCGTTAATGGAACCCAAACGATTCCCACGGGTTTACGGGGAACGTGCCGCCAATCGAGAGCGACAATTTTAGCCCCTTCGTAAACCTCCCCGAGCTGTCCAACCGATCTCTTATATAGCTCAGCCGAGCGACGATTCCCGCAGAGCACCAGTTTCACTCTGCCCTGATACCATCCAATGTCCCTGCATTTGGGAGACAAGCCGGGCTCGTCGCGTAGCATTTGCAAACATTGAATGGCTAGTTGAGCCTCCACCGCCTTCCATTTGTCTTTGGGTATTCCGCCTTCAGGATTTCCCTCGTCTATGATACCGATTATGGTTTCTGTGGGAATTGGAGGTTTCTTCTGCGGTTGGGTGTTCCCCAGGCTGGGTTCTAAAAGTACGTAGTTGGGGAGCACAGTGCGCGCCCACTCCACCTTCTCCATCCACGCAGCTGAGGGAGTGGTAATGTTGCTCCTTGAATGTGACCGAAGTATCTTGGCAGCAGTCCGCCTCGACGCATAAGTAAACTTCTTGGGATCGGTTGCCGATGCAGAGGTGCCACCGGTCGAGGTGGATAAATGAGGCGATCCATTTGGGATATCCCTGGAATTTCTTGTACTGCTCGAGGATACGAAAGTTTCGGCGATGACCTGTCCATCGAGTGGTGGTTCCATATCATATTCATCCTGTGCATCCTCCACTTGCTCTGCTTCTATTTTGATTGAAACATCAGGAATTGGTTCCATGAAATACCCTTCGCTTGTGTCTTCTGTAGGGTACTTTCTTTTAGTTCCACGTTCTCCTTCTAAGGAACTCATTTGGGATAATTTATTTTTCCAATCAAATTTCCGCGAGGATTTTTACTCCAATTTGATATTTTGCAACACTACACCTTAGGGATGACAATTTTTATATTTTCTGTGAAATCGATTATCGATAAGTAATTGGCGCCAGATTTAAATTCTATGTATTTATTAACCACCCAAACCACCCTCACCAGTCTGCCCATTGATGACTTGCTCAGGTGGAGCCAGAAGTGCGTTATAGTTATTCTGTCTAATAATACCTGCCTCGGCCTACCTGTTGAGTTAGTATAAAAAAAGTTTTCAAGCGTGGCTTGAAGACCAATATAAGTTTGTATAAGGAACTCGGTCCTTATACTTACGAGCCCACTTCCCGGAGGTCAGAAAGTAGAACCACGGAGTTGTAAGATGAAATGATAAATAATTTATTGGGAGGTTGGTACATGGTTATATACTACTTGGAACATTCATTGAGAACACCGAGATTTGTCCGTCTCGAGTCCATGGTTCTTGAACGATGCCTATGTCAATGTTCCTCTCACTGAGAAGAACTGCAAGATGGGCTGAAGCATGCGTGCTGTGCTTCAGGTTAATCTGCATGACTCTAGTTGGGTGTTACGTCTGACCAGGTCATCTTACAGCTTGTTGGTGTCATCGACCTCTTCGAGAACATCATCCGGCTCTGCCAGGAAGACCTTGACCTTGGCCTTCCGTAGGCCGAACCGGACGGTGTAGTCGGCCCTCTCAAGCTGCGGCACGCAGCGCTGGTTGATGAGGAAGAGGAACGGCTGGCTCGTCTTCATCTCCTTCTCCACTCTGAGTATCTCCCAGTCCTCTGTGTGCACCTCTGGGTTCTGAGCCCTCAGCAGCGACAGCACCTTTCCCTGGTCAGTCTGCTCCTTTGGCAACCAAATGCGAGCCCGCGGCCTCCTTGGAATCTCCCAGGCGTGGACGAGCCTAATACTAAGGCCGTCCCAAGCATTTCCAATCCTGGCTATGCACTCCGCTAGGAAGGAGCTTGAGAAGGAGTCATCGCACTTGATCACCCGGTGCCCCCTGACCATTTCCGACGAGTCGAAGGAGGGGATCGGACTATTTGGCACGGCTGACAGCCTTTCGGCTATCATGTCGGCCACCTTGACCTCGATCTCCTCCCACTTCTCCGACAGCAGGCGTCCGTCCTCGTGCAGGTCGTCCACCAGTGCCATTGCGAGGTTGTCTCCGGCTACGTCGCTGAACTTCTTGGCCTTCTTCACCAAGGAGGTCGGTCTTGGGCTCCCCTGAGCGTCCTTTGCCAGTTTGGCTGCGATCTCGCTTGCCTGGCGCCGCCTCATGTACTCCTCGAAGTCTGCGATCTCCGCCAGGCATCGAATCTTGTCCTCCGCATCGCGCTGGTCAATCCTGCCCTCTGCCTCATTCTTAACAATCTTGCCGAGAATGAAACGAGCTTTACTGACCCTGGCCTTGCGCTGCTGATGCGTAGGCGCAGCAGTGGCTGCCTTGCTGGAATTTCTTGTGCTGCTCGAGGATACGAAGGTTTCGGAGACGTCCTGTCCATCGGGGGATGGTTCCGTTTTTATCAGGATCATAGAACCCTGATCATCTTTATCCTGTGCATCCTCCTCAACTTGCTCTGCTTTTATTTTGATTGGAACATCAGGAAGTGGTTCGCTTGTGTCTTCTGTAGGGTACTTTCTCTTAGTTCCTCTATTTGCTAAGGATCCTTTGCATGCCGCCGCCTTATGGACCACAGTTTTATCTCTTTCCGAAGAACTCATTTGGTAAAATTTAGTTTTCCAATAAAATTTCAGCGAGCACCAATTTTTACTCCAATTTGGTATTTTGCAACACTGAACCGAGAGATTGGGATGAAACTTTTTAAATTTTCTGCTAAATCGATTAGTAATCGGCGCCAGTTTCAAATTCTACGTTTTTATAAAACCATCAAAATTACTTTCATTAGACATGTTTATAATTTGTACAATTTTAAATACATATTGAATTCATATAACAAGCAAAATGCGAATACATTGTATAAATATAGGATCCCGTGTACGCGTCGTGAGTAGCTAACTCCTTAGTTTGCCTAGTCGAATGTATGTCTATAAATATGTAATTGCTTGTGGCCCAGAGCCGGATGCTCCAATCCCACGGTTGGAGCCTTGCTCATGGCACCTTCTGAATATGTATTATGTATGTAGTTGAGTATGTAGTGGCTGCAGCCACCAGCTGGCTGCAAGTTAGTTATCATGGCACATTCGTGATACTGTCTCGTTCATCATCATGTCGGTGTTCCAGGGGCAACTGTAGACTCGGTTGGGGGCATTGCGTTGGGGGTAAACTAAGCGATATGATCGAGAGGGAAAGATCTTTTGCGGGATATGTGACAAGCGCGCCCGCTCCTCGTCCAGTTGCCCAGTCCTCCTGGGCCTACAAAGTCGTCTCGGGTACATGATTGTGTCCCTGCTCGTAGTCCAGTCGCAGGTCAACGATCTTCTGCTCCAGCTTCCTCACCCGCAGCTGGTACTTGCGCTTGCTGTGCTCCAACATTTGTCCCAGATTACTGAAAAGGATGAAGAGAAAAGATTATTCCTGCATGAGTACACTTGAATTGACAAACAAGTCAATTTTTTGAATACAGTGAGTGAGTTTAAGTGTGTCAACTTGGATCACTTGGAGCACAGAATAAAAGTGAGTGGAGTGATAAAATTACTAAGCAAATTATTTAGGTAATTCGAAATTATTTTATATTAAATCACTTGTTTTTCCTTATGAACAAATCAAATGAAAATAAGTGATCCAAATAATTGATTTTAAAAACTAATCGTAGTTATAGAAAGCAATCTTACTGGTTGGACTTCTGGAGTTCTCGCACATTCTGGTGCAGCTGCTCGTACTTCTCGTCGGAGGCCTTCTGCGAGGCGGTGACATTGGCCAACAGCGTCTGGATGCGGCTCTTGAGCTCCGTTTCCCGCGTCAGAGCCTCGACCAACTGCTGCTCCGTGAGGGTGGCGTGCTCTGCCTCCGAGTAGGACACCCGATTGCTGGCCTGCAGCTGCTTCAGGGCTTCATGAAGGATGCCCACACGCTCGTTGGCATTCTGCCGCTCCTTCTCCGCTTCCTCCATTTTCGACTTCAGCTGAAGATTCGCATCGCGCAGCTCAAGCAATTCCTGCATAATCACCGCCGTCTCCAGATCGATGGGTGACTTCTTGTCCTCGCTGCGCAGCTCGTGCTCCTTCTCCAAGGCGAGACGCTTCCGCTCGTAAATATCGCTGAAGGGCGACTCCAGACTGACGATGGTGTGCTGGACACTCGATCGACGTCCCTTCAGCTTGGAGACGTGGTAGCGCAGACGATTGTCGTCGTCGGGGCACCAGGAGCGGCCAATCTTGGGGGTATCTTCAGTGCTTAAATTGATGTTGTGTTGCCAAGGTCCCAAACTATTCTCGCACACGTTCTTCTCACTGTCTAGTCGAGCTAGCAGATGCCTTGCCACCGCCTCCACAGATCGGCGACTCTCCTCCGCCGCCGCTGACTTCTCACCGAGTAGAGCCAACCTAAAAGGGAGTTGGGTTAGCAAAGGTGGATCCAGAATCCTGACCAGACTTACTTGCTCTCCAGCAGAGCCAGCATCACGTCGTACGCCTCGATTGCCCGATCGCTGCAGTTGAGCGCCAGTTGAAGGGCCACCGCATTGGACTCGTATTTGCCGCACAGCAGATACAGGTGCTCCGTGTGCTCCTTGCACTCGTCCAGCGTCAGTGCCAACATGGTGTTCCGCATCTCCAAGTGCTCCACACGCCGCTGCAGTCGCTCCAATTCCCTGCTCAGCTGCAGGGGCTCCATGAAGCTTTCCATGAAGAGGTTCTGCTCTTTTAGCTCGCACACCAAGTGCTCCACCAGGTTAATGTGCTCCTCGTTGCTTAGAGATGTGTGCTCGGGAGCTTCAGCGGATTCCTGTTTGCTGGCGCAGCGCAACTTGACCCGTTCGGCCATTTTCGGCACGGCGGGCACACGTTTCTGCGGGCTGGTCAGGGAAACACAAGCTGAAAGGAGCACGTTAGCCATCAGGATATGAATTTAATTAAGATATCTTACAATTCAAATCATTGAGGCGCTGTCCGCTTTCGTTGACCTCCGTTTCGCAGCCAAAGAAGGCCACTTTGGTCTGTTCCTCGACCACGGCGGCCTCCTTGGTGGAAATCTCGGACTGAAGCAGGGCTATTTGGGCCCTCAAATGCAGCACCTCCTCCTGCAAGGCCTCCACTTGGCCCTTGTGGCTGAGTTCCTGCGGCTTGTGGCCCATCTGACCCACACTTGTGGTGCTGTAGGCGCCCTCGAGATCCTCCAGGGGTTCCGTCTGGCACTCGGCATCGGGATTGGTGAGATTGAGCTCGGAGTTGTAGACAGAACCCTCCTGAAAACTCAGTTCTATAATTGGAAATACTGATTAGCCTTGTTCCTTGGATCTCTTAGCATATCTACTTACCACTACCCTCCGGTTCCTGTTCCTCCATGATAATGTGATCCTGCTTGCTGCGCAGTTTCTTGCTCAGCTCCGCTATGACGCAGTGCATCTCGGTGATGCGGCACTCGTGCGCCTGGCTGACCACCTCCAGCCGCTTGTGGCAAATCTCCCGCTCCGTGTTGCTCTCCGTGAGCTGCCTTTCGGCCTGCTGCAGGCGCTGGGTGAGTTCGCGCACCCGGTTCTCCAGCTGCTGCACCGATAGCTGCTCAACCTGTGGAGTAATCAGAGCGGGAAAGACAAGGATTAGAGATTTCTAGATGGCCAGCGGTGGGGGTCATCACGTTTATGGGTCGCCTGGCCAGCGGATGGGCCATCAGGGTGTACTCCCAGCTGCGCCGCTTGTCGCTGGGCACCGACGGCGTGTCGCTGCAGCACAGGCAGCTCAGGCTGCGCGGAAGCAGTTGCTCCGCAATCATCGTCCAGTGGAAAATTTCGACTGGCGATTACGTCGTCATCCAGCCGCGGGTGCATCCGCGCTCTCCGCCACTGCAACTTGACCCTCAGCCTTCGACACGCATCTGCGCACTGGACGCCAGCCGAATTCCAAGACCCCCACAAAAGGGTACACTTAAAAAACGGGGTATTCTACAATGATTGGGCTTTCAAAAATAATAATCTAACTATGCAGATTTATGGAAAAGTTTTTTTTTTAATATTATGTGATAGTATAATTTGTATGTAAAAAAAATTTTTTAATTAATTAAATGCTTCTTACGATAGCAAAATAACAAAATAATAAAATTTGCAATCCTATATATTTGGACATTCATTAAATTACATGTATATACATTAAAGAACTGAAATTGAAGGAAGAAAAACTTTTTTTTCGAAAAAAAATTCTTTTTATAGAAATTTGTACTTTGTAGGACTTGAATTTTAGGTACTACCTAGGTAGGTACATTGTTATATTTTCAAAAGGAAATACTTTTTTTGCTTTTCTCTTTGTAGGTTGTTATGTTTATAGGAAAAATATAATTTTAATGTACAAAAAACAATTTAAAAATCGCAAATAAGGGCTAGTACTCAACCCAACAAAATGTCGTCCAAATAAAAAAACTTTATGTGAAATAAAATTTCTTGACGTTGTTTTTCATATGAAGTTTTTTGTTTTGGACGACTTTTTGTTGGGTTGAGTACTAAGCCCTAAGCATGAAAATAGTACCTTACAATTTTTTCAAAATTGTTGTTTAAAAATATTAATATTTGTAATAACATTATAATATTTTTCTCCCAGTGTAATGGGGCCATCACTCACTTTGTTGACAATGTCTAGCGTGGAGCAGCTGGAGATGTTGTTGTCGCTCTCCGTAGTGTCCCGCTGCGTGTGCTCCGGGGAGTCCAGGTCGCAGGATCCCACCAAGTGCCTGGCGCCAGGACCTCCTCCGCGCGGCGAAATGCTCCCGAAGACATACTCGAAATCCTCGCTGTGATTGCCCTGGAATCCGCTGGAGTCGCGCTGCTTGCCGCTGCGTCGCGGCACATCGGTGGCGGCTATCTTGGCCACTCGGGCCACCTGCACATCGTTGGACATCCTGATATCTGGCTGGGATGGGCTGCTCCTCCCGGACTAGAATTGGCCTGATTGGGGCCCCTTGGTGATTACTTTTGATTGCTGCTCCATTCCTGCTCTCTGTAGCACTGGGTTAATTCTACATGGCACTTGCTGGTTGTTAACTAAGGCATTTTTAATTCAAAAACTCAAAACTTTGCATTCTTATCAGAAAATGTATACCCAGACTGGGAATGTTTGTGTGTATTTATGCCAGCGTTGTTCAACACTCTAAGCGATTATTTATCGATATCGCAGGTTCATTGGGCGCGCAATTCAAACTTCCCATTTAAAGCTTTAGCTAAATTGCATTCTTCAGTTTCCTGTTTTATAATCTGTTTTATTGTACGCTGTTGCGGTAATATACATATATTATATCCTCTGTCAACACTGCGATATGCTTCCATCTTTGCGGGACTTCCCAATTGAACTAGTTTTGTATTTAAGGAATAGCAGATAGATTTTCGGCCCGTATCGTGACCATAGCCTCGTAGTCCCGCATGTCCAGTTCGTGGAGAGCCTTCTGCACCAGCGTGGCCAGGTGGGGAGGCAAGTCCTTTAGATCCTCCATCCGCTCGCGAGCCACGGAACTGGATATTCGAGGTGTGCCGGTACACCGGCTGCTCAGACCGCAATTTCCGGAATCTGTGGTGGCCGACGAAGACTTGTGGAAGTCTTCGGAAGGCTGCACATCCACCCCGTAAACCGAGGAGTCCACGGACTCGGTCGACAGCGAGGACATTCCATCGTCCGAGTGCAGGACCTCCGCCGACTTGTGCTTCCTGGTATCCCCAGGATCCGGCGTAATTGCCGCGTCTTCGTTGTCGGGGGCAATGGACGGAGTGCTGCTGATGTCGGCATCATCAACCATTGCGGCGCAGTAGCCATTGAGGAGCAGCTGCGAGGGAGCATAGCCGTACTCCTCGTCCTCCTCCTGGCCCTCCGAGTTATCCTCGTTTCCAGAGAGGAGCTGCTGCCACCGCTGTTCCAGCTCCGTCATTTTGCCAGCCAGTATTCTGTGGAATATATTCTTTTAGTATACATTTTGATTTGGGAACTAAGACAACTACTTGTTGGTCTTCTTCTGGTGAGTTAGGGCCAAATTCTTATCGTTCAGATTGTCTAGCAAAGCCAAACACAAGGATTTGAGGTCGCTTAAGCTCTCGGTTTTCTGCGGCAGATCAATGCCGCTCTCCAGAATGGTTTTAACTAAGGGAAAGGGAAAATTAAACAGGCTTAGCAGATGTATAAATTATATAAATACCCACCTTGTCGTGGACTCAGTATGGTGTCTTCATTTGTGCCGCCTCCGCCCAGTTTTACAATTCCCTTTTTCTTCTTGGCATCCAACATGGTCTTCAAAAAGGTTTATAAAATATGTAAATAAATCTAACAATTAGTTTATAGGGTTCAGATTAATACCTTGTACTTGGCTATGCTCTGTTTGGTCAGTTCCAGTTCGCTGTCCTGGATCTTCACACGTTCATGCAGGTACTTGTTCTCCAGCAAAACACCATCGATGTCCAGGAGCTGCAGTTTCTTTTATAATTATACAATATATATATTATAGCAAGCCCTAACTCACCCTAGGATGCGTTTTTTTAGCCCTCAGAGCCACGAAGAGCTCGTGATTGAGGCGATGGGCCTTGCATTTGTAGGCATCCCGCTCGGTAATCAGTTCCTCCTTCTCATCGATGACCGCCTTGAGATCAAAGGCCAGCTGGGCATTGCGTTTCTTCAGGCCCTCCAGGTGGCAGATGAAGTTTGCCCTCTCCCGACGCCACTGCAGCTCCTCCTTGTTGCGGGCAGCATTCTCGGTGGCCATCGCCTGGACCCTGGACTTATTGCTAGCCTCCGTCTCGCGTAGGAGTTCCATGTCGCCCTGGAGCTCGTTTAGTCGCTGCCTCAGGGCCTCCACCTCCGTGCTGAGCTTGAGATTCTGCTCCCGCGTCTCATGGAGCAGGGCGGCCAAGCTGGAGTTCTCGCTGAGGGCTCCACAGCCGCCGACGGCCAGCAGTTCACTGTTGCTCTTCAGCGCCGAGTAGCGCAGCTGCAGGGTCTCCGCCACCAGCTTGTATTGATCTCTTTCCACGCGAAACTGCTCCAGTTCCTGGCGCAGGATCCTCAGGGCCTCCACCTTGCTCTGCAGTTTCCGATGCACCGCCGAGGTCTGCAAAGGGTGGTTCATAAAGTTTATAAGTAGTTATAAAGGGGGTTGTGTACTGCAGACTCACCTCCACATTGTACGTGGCCATGGCCATATGCTGGCTGAATCCATGCTGACTTGCCACCTCCTCCAAGTCCATATCGAATTTATAAGTGGGTTTTCCTTTTCCCAAGCTTCGGTTGTTGACATTGACAGTGAATAATAAGGGGGAAAGCTGCTTCAGCCAGCTGTATCACAATTTCTCGGCCTCTAAGGACACCATTTTGGCCAAACACGCAGCAATTTTTTTTTTTTTTTTTTTTTTTTTTTTTTTTTTTTTTTTTTTTTTTTTTTTTTTTTTTTTTTAAAAAAAAAAAAAAAAAATTAAAAAATTTTTTTTTTTTTTTTTTTTTTTTTTTTTTTTTTTTTAAAATTTTTTAAATAAAAATTAAAAAATTTTTTTTTTTTTTTTTTTTGGGTAAAAAAATATTATAATTTTTTTTTGGGTTTTGAGTTTTTTTTTTTTTTTTTTTTTTTTTTTTTTTTTTTTTTTTTTTTTTTTTTTTTTTTTTTTTTTTTTTTTTTTTTTTTTTTTTTTTTTTTTTTTTTTTTTTTTTTTTTTTTTTTTTTTTTTTTTTTTTTTTTTTTTTTTTTTTTTTTATTTTTTTTTTTTTTTTTTTTTTTTTTTTTTTTATTTTTATTATTTTTAAAATTTTTTTTTTTTTTTTATTTTTTTTTTTTTTTTTTTTTTTTTTTTTTTTTTTTTTTTTTTTTTTTTTTTTTTTTTTTTTTTTTTTTTATAAAAGAAGGAGGGGGGGGGGGTTTTAAAAAAAAAAATGTTTTTTTTTTTTTTTTTTTTTTTTTTTTTTTTTTTTTTTTTTTTAAAAAAAAAAAGGGATTTTTTTTTTTTTTTCTCTTTTTTTTTTTTTTTTAAAAAAAAAAAAAAAAAAGGGGGGGAGGAAAAAAAATTTTTTTTTTTTTTTTTTTTTTTTTCTTGGGCCCCTCCAAAAAAGGGGGGGTAGAAAAAAAATAGCAATATTTGTATTCATCTCGCTACTACGGAGTAGTAATTGCAAACACTGCACGCAGCTACAGTGAATCAATTTTTCCAGGCGCCTGCGCACTGGGCCCCAAAAGGTATGCTACATATGTTTGCAATTCGATTCATATCGATAAGGTTTTGGCCTGTACTTTTAGATTAGTTAATTTATAACTTTAACTTATCAGAATTAACAATAATACTTAATTTATAAACTACAACTTAGTATAATTTATAAAAATTTCTAAAAAGGTTTCAATTTTGACAACTAATTTTCTATTTTTGCTTGATATAAAATTCCATATTTAAAAATTTTCGAAGTTTCTTGGATAGATTTTTAATTATTCAAATTTTTTATTCACAGAGATAAAATTTTTGCATGTACTTTAAATAAAAATTCTTGCCTGGATTAGTTAATTTATAACTTTAACTCATGATCAATATTAAGAATATTAACATTATTAAGTATTTTAAAACTGCAACTTAGTATAATTTTACAAAGAATGCTCAGATTTAATTTGATGTAAAAATTAATACTTAATAATTTACGTTTTATGGATATATTTTTATATCTTAGTATAATTTATAAAAAGGGCATAGCAGACTTACCTATGGAAAACGGCCCCCAGCGATTTTAAAAAATTTGGAATCAGCGATTATAGATAATTAGAAGGACAGTATGGCAACCAATTTTCAAAGCTATTGGACATTTCGCTGAGGAGTAATCGTCTGCAATCCAAAAATGTATTTAAGCTTATATTTGACCAACGGAAACGCTTAACTGAAAATTAGTGATGAGAAATCAAAGGGATAAGAAATAGGTCCTCGCTAAAGAAGCTTGGCATTTTTAAGACTTTTTAAAAGTGCAGAAAACCGCGATTAAAATTTAAAAAAAAAATTTTGACCACACTCAAAATAAATTTAACCCTAAATTTTAGAAAATCGCCATTAAAATTTCTTTTTTCTAAATACAAGAAAGTTATTTCTAAATATAAGGAAATTTTTCTTAAGTCAAGAAAGTTTTCCTTAAATCCAGGAAGTTTTTCTTAAATGTAGAAATTGGTTACCATGAACTAAAATAACCCTAAAATCTAGAAAAAATGCCCTTAAAATTAGAAATTATTTTCTGAAAAATAGAAAGGCAAACGAAAATAATAAAATATTTTGGCAACACCTTTTCTAAAAATTAGTGCCCTAACCCTAAAATGAAACCAACCCTAAATAATAGAAACATTTTCTAAAAAGTAGAAATTTTTTCTAAAAAATAGAAATAGTTGTTTTCACATGCTCTGGCACACCAAAATGTTCAATGCCAGAACTTGTCAGCTGCCGGCCAGCTGTACTCGTGGCGCAGACCGTTAAAGCACTTGGTTAGCAATCGAATCGACGCGGGTTCGAGTCCCAGAGCAAAATTTTTTAACCTTTTTTTTTATGTTATTTTATTTTTTTTTATTTATTTTATTTTCTTTTATTTTTATTTATTTTTTTACTTTTTTTTATTCCTTTTTTTTTATTGATGGCAAGCAGTAAACTAAAAATAATTAGGTTTATATTTAGTTATTTACTATATACTACACATAATATAAATTGCGTTAGCATAAATATATACATAAGTATATACGTATGTAAATAAGTAAAACGCGAATGGTCAAAAATTATGCAATTAGTATTCAAATGTGTTGTCCGCTTCACCCTTTACATACATTGCTCGGTTTGCCACAGCAAGTTTAAGTGCTACAATGGCCCAGTATGTAGGCCATTCGCTCCTTGCGCGGGAGACCCGGGTGTAATGTACCTTGTCGCTCTTTTGTCCACCAAAATAAATAAGCCTAGAAGCAGACTTTAATTTTTTTTTGTCCCACTTGGGTTACCAAAGAGAATGAATCGCTGCCAAGCTCAGCTCAAAAAGGTTGCACTCAAGAGAAATTCTGGAATCAAAATTACATGAGAGTACCGTGGGTTGGCAGACAAAAATGGCGATCTTTTTCGAAATTTGGGGAAATTTTGGTTACATGAGGTTCTGACACGCGAGTATCGGTCTTTTCTAATTCTAACGCCAGCCAAGGCAGACGTGCATATCTCGAGCAAAGTCAAAAAGTTAATTCAAAGTGCCAGCCAGTCAAAGATTAGAAAAGTTATTAATAATCGTGGGTTATACCATATTGGGTAAGAAAATAAATCGGCTGTCGTCCCCAAAATTAGGCAATGCTGACCTTAGTCAATTTTATTTAGGTACCCAGGTGCAAAAGCACACCTTTATTCTCCCAGCCATTGGTTTTTCCATCAATACGCTCCGATCTCCAGACGTTCCAGGCAAAGCTCAGCTTTCCCGAAAGAGATCGGCCCAAGCAGCGGCCAGAGAGGAGAGGGGCTTCAGTTTTTATTACCAGCGCAAACGCAACGGTCGCAGCTCCGACGCTGCTCGGCGCCGAGGCCGCGGAAAGTCGGAAAACGGCGGAAAACCGCCCGGGAAATACTGCTCATCGTCGTACGAAAAGTTCGGCAGAATCTACGTTTTTTTTGAGTGTGAAAATCTAATAATTGCCTGAATAAGAACCACCCAAAAGAAAAAGTCACGCACACACACATGTAACCTGCAAGACCACGCTGCAATTATGTAATCGCTTTGTAACTGACCTACGTTAAAGTACAGTGGCCTCTCGTATGAGCATCTCCGGTTGCTGGTTTTCTATGTAATTTTACCTTTAAATGGTATTATTCTAAAAGTACGCCACTGTACTCTTTCCCCTTATGATTATTTCAAGTTCTTTTTTTTCTAAATTTTATAGTTAAATTATATTTTTTCTTAATACTTAAATTTACTTCCTTAAAATGCGCACACGCAAATATAAAGAAATAAAAGCCCATTTGTGAGTGTGTATGCGAGCGGTATAGCAACGCCAGAAAATCAGTGAAGAAAATTCTAATATAAACGTAAATTACTATTTGGTAAAAGAAAATGAAACCAATCAAGTAAAGTTATAGCTTGAGTCATGTTTAAGAAAGAAAAGAAGATCAATTTGGCGAGGTTCTTGTGTCGTGCGGTGAAACATATGTATTATTAACATTTCAGCGAATTTCAGTGACAACGTTCTACGAAGAAAGCGCTTTCCTCGCCGGATGTTCAATGAGTGAGTCACCCTACTTATTTTATATATTTTTATAAATTGCATAAAGAAAATCCCCGACCAGAATTTCCGACCAAATAACAAAAGCCGAAAGGTCAAAATTGAATTAAAATAATGAAAACTTAAAACGAAATTGAAATGAACGAAAATTAAAATAGAAAAGAAAACATGAAGTGAATGAAGTAGAATTTGAAAGAAAAGAACCGCACAGAAAAGAATGAAGTAAGAATTATAGAAATAAACCAGAATGATTTGTGCCGTAATACGAATTCGCCGCAAGTTTCGCGAATTCGCCGCTTAAGCATTGCCAAATGTAAAGTCAATGGAATCCACTTAGGTTCCACAACCCTGACCACTGGTTGTATTTACTTTTCTCATACACACGGGTTAATTTCCTTCCTTTTTAATTACATATCTTAAATTTATTTTTGCCCCTTTATTTTGTTACTGTTTAAATACTATATTGCCATTATGATTATATTATTATATTTTAGATAACTATTATATTTCTATATCTATAAATTTATATTCTGTTAATTCCTTGCGTAAAATAGCGATTGTGGGTGGGAATACGCCCTGTAGAATTATGTCAGCAGTACATTTAAATATTCTATGTTAATAAATGAATTTTATAATGAATTTTGAGTAGACCGCCAATTAGCTAAAGGGGACATGCCGATAACAGGAGATGTGGGGGTACCATAGAGGGTTAATACCCTCATTTAGGGATCACACCCTAGCTATGGGACGGTGTGATCATGGAAGGGTGGGCACTTGTGGTTGCAACAACATCTTGCCACATTCTTGAGATTTTTATTTTTTCCTTTGTAACCATTTTCATTTCCTAACTTCAATTCTAAGCAAATCTCCCAAAATATTCGTCAGTCCGAATTGCGTTACCGTCGACTTATTCTTGCACGTGATCGATTTAATGATAATATATTTATGTGATTTCTTTTGTGGAGATAATGGGCTGTATATCAACGGACTCGACGACTAGCCGGAACCATCACGTGGTCCGCACGATATACGAATTGTCATCTGCTCTTCCTTTTGGAAAATATTAAGTTTTCTGGGATCTCCCTCTGTACGTTACATGCTACAGTAAATATAATATATATATTTATA